CTGATGGTCTCACTTCAACAACCCCTTGTTACTTAATTGATGGTCTCTACTTCAACAACCCCCTTGTTAGTTAACTGATGGTCTCACTTCAACAACCCTTGTTACTTAACTGATGATGGTCTCACTCTCACTTCAATAAAGCCCTTGTTAGTCAACTGATGGTCTCTCACTTCAACAACCCCTTGTTACTTAACTGATGGTCTCACTTCAACAAGCCCTTGTTACTCAACTGATAGTCTCACTTCAACAACCCCTTGTTAGTTAACTGATGGTCTCACTTCAACAAGCCCTTGTTAGTTAACTGATGGTCTCACTTCAACAAGCCCTTGTTAGTTAACTGATGGTCTCACTTCAACAACCCCTTGTTAGTCAACTGATGGTCTCACTTCAACAAGCCCTTGTTACTTAACTGATGGTCTCACTTCAACAAGCCCTTGTTAGTCAACTGATGGTCTCACTTCAACAACCCCTTGTTAGTTAACTGATGGTCTCACTTCAACAAGCCCTTGTTAGTCAACTGATGGTCTCACTTCAACAAGCCCTTGTTAGTCAACTGATGGTCTCACTTCAACAAGCCCTTGTTAGTCAACTGATGGTCTCACTTCAACAACCCCTTGTTAGTCAACTGATGGTCTCACTTCAACAAGCCCTTGTTAGTCAACTGATGGTCTCACTTCAACAACCCCTTGTTAGTCAACTGATGGTCTCACTTCAACAACCCCTTGTAAGTTAACTGATGTTCTCACTTCAACACCCCCTTGTTACTTACCAATGGTCTCACTTCAACAACCCCTTGTTACTCAACTGATGGTCACTTCAACAACCCCTTGTTAGTTAACTGATAGTCTCACTTCAACAACCCCTTGTTACTTAACTGATGGTCTCACTTCAACAAGCCCTTGTTAGTCAACTGATAGTCTCACTTCAACAACCCCTTGTTACTTAACTGATGGTCTCACTTCAACAAGCCTCTTGTTACTCAACTGATAGTCTCAGTTCAACAACCCCTTGTTAGTTAACTGATTGTCTCACTTCAACAACCCCTTGTTAGTTAATTGATGGTCTCACTTCAACAACCCCTTGTTAGTCAACTGATGGTCTAACTTCAACAAGCCCTTGTTAGTTAACTGATGGTCTCACTTCAACAACCCCTTGTTACTTAACTGATGGTCTCACTTCAACAACCCCTTGTTAGTCAACTGATGGTCTAACTTCAACAACCCCTTGTTAGTTAACTGATGGTCTAACTTCAACAAGCCCTTGTTAGTCAACTGATGATCTCACTTCAACAACCCCTTGTTAGTCAACTGATGGTCTCACTTCAACAACCCCTTGTTAGTTAACTAATGGTCACACTTCAACAACCCCTTGTTAGTTAACTGATGGTCTCACTTCAGCAACCCCTTGTTAGTCAACTGATGGTCTCACTTCAACAACCCCTTGTTAGTCAACTGATGGTCTCACTTCAACAAGCCCTTGTTACTTAACTGATAGTCTCACTTCAACAACCCCTTGTTACTTAACTGATGGTCTCACTTCAACAACCCCTTGTTACTTAACTGATAGTCTCACTTCAACAACCCCTTGTTAGTTAACTGATGGTCTCACTTCAACAACCCCTTGTTACTTAATTGATGGTCTCACTTCAACAACCCCTTGTTACTTAACTGATAGTCTCACTTCAACAACCCCTTGTTACTTAACTGATGGTCTCACTTCAACAACCCCTTGTTAGTTAACTGATGGTCTCACTTCAACAACCCCTTGTTACTTAACTGATGGTCTCACTTCAACAAGCCCTTGTTAGTCAACTGATGGTCTAACTTCAACAACCCCTTGTTACTTAACTGATGGTCTCACTTCAACAAGCCCTTGTTACTCAACTGATAGTCTCACTTCAACAACCCCTTGTTAGTTAACTGATGGTCTCACTTCAACAAGCCCTTGTTAGTTAACTGATGGTCTCACTTCAACAACCCCTTGTTACTTAACTGATGGTCTCACTTCAACAACCCCTTGTTAGTCAACTGATGGTCTCACTTCAACAAGCCCTTGTTACTTAACTGATGGTCTCACTTCAACAAGCCCTTGTTAGTCAACTGATGGTCTCACTTCAACAACCCCTTGTTAGTCAACTGATGGTCTCACTTCAACAACCCCTTGTTAGTCAACTGATGGTCTCACTTCAACAAGCCCTTGTTAGTCAACTGATGGTCTCACTTCAACAACCCCTTGTTAGTTAACTGATGGTCTCACTTCAACAACCCTTGTTAGTCAACTGATGGTCTCTCAACAACTTGTTAGTCAACTGATGGTCTCACTTCAACAACCCCTTTGTTAGTCAACTGATATGGTCTCACTTCAACAACCCTTGTTAGTTAACTGATTCTCACTTCAACAACCCAAGCCCTGATGTTACTTCAACTGATGGTCTCACTTCAACAACCCTTGTTAGTTAACTGATGGTCTCACTTCAACAACCCCTTGTTAGTTAACTGATGGTCTCACTTCAACAACCCCTTGTTATGGTCTCACTTCAAACTGATGGTCTCACTTCAACAACCCCTTGTTAGTCAACTGATGGTCTCACTTCAACAACCCCTTGTTAGTTAACTGATGGTCTCACTTCAACAACCCCTTGTTAGTTAACTGATGGTCTCACTTCAACAACCCCTTGTTGGTCTCACTTAACTGATGGTCTCACTTCAACAACCCCTTGTTAGTCAACTGATGGTCTCACTTCAACAACCCTTGTTAGTTAACTGATGGTCTCACTTCAACAAGCCCTTGTTAGTCAACTGATGGTCTCACTTCAACAACCCTTGTTACTGTTAACTGATGGTCTCACTTCAACAACCCCTTGTTAGTCAACTGATGGTCTCACTTCAACAACCCCTTGTTAGTTAACTGATGGTCTCACTTCAACAACCCCTTGTTAGTTCAACTGATGGTCTCACTTCAACAACCCCTTGTTAGTCAACTGATGGTCTCACTTCAACAAGCCCTTGTTAGTCAACTGATGGTCTCACTTCAACAACCCCTTGTTAGTCAACTGATGGTCTCACTTCAACAAGCCCTTGTTACTTAACTGATGGTCTCACTTCAACAACCCCTTGTTAGTTAACTGATGGTCTCACTTCAACAACCCCTTGTTAGTTAACTGATGGTCTCACTTCAACAACCCCTTGTTAGTTAACTGATGGTCTCACTTCAACAACCCCTTGTTAGTCAACTGATGGTCTCACTTCAACAACCCCTTGTTACTTCAACTGATGGTCTCTGATGGTCTCACTTCAACAACCCCTTGTTAGTTAACTGATGGTCTCACTTCAACAACCCCTTGTTAGTTAACTGATGGTCTCACTTCAACAACCCCTTGTTAGTTAACTGATGGTCTCTCAACTTACTTAACAGTAAACCCTTGTTAGTTAACTGATGGTCTCACTTCAACAACCCCTTGTTACTTAACTGATGGTCTCACTTCAACAACCCCTTGTTAGTTAACTGATGGTCTCACTTCAACAACCCCTTGTTAGTTAACTGATAGTCTCACTTCAACAACCCCTTGTTAGTCAACTGATGGTCTCACTTCAACAACCCTTGTTAGTTAACTGATGTCTCACTTAACAACCCTTGTTACTTAACTGATGGTCTCACTTCAACAACCCCTTGTTAGTCAACTGATGGTCTCACTTCAACAACCCCTTGTTAGTTAACTGATGGTCTCTCACTTCAACAACCCCTTGTTAGTTAACTGATGGTCTCACTTCAACAACCCCTTGTTAGTTAACTGATGGTCTCACTTCAACAACCCCTTGTTAGTTAACTGATGGTCTCACTTCAACAACCCCTTGTTAGTCAACTGATAGTCTCACTTCAACAACCCCTTGTTAGTTAACTGATGGTCTCACTTCAACAACCCCTTGTTAGTTAACTGATGGTCTCACTTCAACAACCCCTAGTTAACTGATGGTCTCACTTCAACAACCCTTGTTAGTTAACTGATGGTCTAACTTCAACAACCCCTTGTTAGTTAACTGATGGTCTCACTTCAACAACCCCTTGTTAGTTAACTGATGGTCTCACTTCAACAACCCCTTGTTAGTTAACTGATGGTCTCACTTCAACAACCCCTTGTTAGTTAACTGATGGTCTCACTTCAACAACCCCTTGTTAGTCAACTGATGGTCTCACTTCAACAACCCCTTGTTAGTCAACTGATGGTCTCACTTCAACAACCCCTTGTTAGTCAACTGATGGTCTCACTTCAACCCCTTGCTTCAACTGCACTGTTCTCACAACAAGAACACCTTGTTCATTTATCAATAGTCGTTCACCTAATTACACGTTGTTAGTTCATGAATAGTCTCACTTACAGAAGACCTTGTAAATTAGCAAATACTCTCACTTAAGAACACTTTGCTATTCTCATGTCAAGGAGATCTTGTTCATTCACCAACAGCATGTCACACCTCTGGACTACACCTTCACTTAGGGTGAAGCGCACATTCTTCAAAGGCACATGTTTAGTTCACGACTAGACAAACTCATGCTTTGTATATATATATACGTTCACCATTATCCACATTCTCTCTTTGTATATTTAACCAGTGCAAGGCTATCGCTGCAGTGTTTGACTTAATGAAGTATGTGTTTCAAGTTGACTACCAACTAGATGTTCTGTATCTGAGATGGACTACAGTTATAACTTCATTCACCTCTTGTACTGAAACACTTCTGAGAAGTGGTACAGTTTGTCAATAGGAATACAAGTTGTACTTCGTGTCACAATGATGTTGTTTGAATATGGAGAAAAGGTTTACTTGGCCTGTAAAAATTCAGATAGTTTTGCTGTGGTCCCCCCTAATTATAGATATATCAGAGATAATAAAGAGAGTTTCAAGCACTGCAGCGTAGCCCCTACCACCTGTCTCACTGCTTGCTTCACGTTGTGTGCATGTGGTGTCTGGGCTTATAGCATCCCTTAACACTTACTTCAGCAGTACTGCTTTCCAAAATAGCCGGCCTCCCAGCTGGACATGGGGTGAAGAGCATTATACAGAGATATGAAGACGGACCCAAGAGCCCCACAGAGAACCCTGAAGCTGAAGATGCCAATCAAGGGTTTGTGCCTAAAACATCATCTCACCTGGTTTCCTGTCAATACCTTTTTATGGGAAAAGCCCCAAAACAAAACAATATACACTGCCCTACTTGTACAGGATAAATGAGAAAAGGCTAGAATATTATAGTTTTCTTTAATGTCAAGTTGAGGCACATTACTTATTTGTCACTTGAATGTTTTATGAATCCTTGGATTTTATGTATTTTTAAGTGATGTTTTTTATTTGAAGGTTATTGTAAGTGCAAACTTTCTAAAAGAACAAGAATATTTAAAATATTACACTGAGAGTGAATTTGATGAAGTGATTACTCTTCTTCAGTCTGCTTGCTCTTACTGCTGACCTCTTTGATTTGTTTAGTAATGTTTCTCCCTGTCTGTGTTCCAGGAAGGACCGCGAGCTCGGCAGATCTGAGAGTATGAAGGGCAGGGGAGAGGTAACCAAACTAAAAGTAATGTAGCAAAGTTTGTTCTCTGCATGCCGCCCTGGCTCCATGCCGGAAGTAAATGTTGTAAAAACAAGTCAGTCTTGAATTGTCTATCAGTACATCATCAATTGATGCACGCTCTTGCTTTCAGAATTGGCCAGTAGACTAAGAGACTCTGGTTAACTCAGTAATGAACTTTCTTTTCATTGTGTTTTGGTTGTTACAGTAAGGTTTAATTAATTTCTGTTGCTGTGACAGACTTGATTTCTTTAGACCTGATCTCATGGGTAACCAAGAAAACCCATGGACAGGGACAAATTTGTGTTGGCAACATGCCACATCAGTTAAAAGATGGTTACTGCCGTATCAAATCCAGTTTCAATCTTCTTGATGTTTACAGTGCATAAACTATCCAAAACCTGGTCACTTTAGATACAAAACATCAATGTGAAAATTTGATGTGTATTTAAGCAGTCGGAATGCATGAATAAATGTTGTTTTATTCCTTATCTTCTGAGTATAAATGGAAGAAACCATATTACTGACTTCAGATAGCAGGTCTAGGGTTTTGTGTGCATGCATTGAATAACATTTAAAAATATATTCTGCTTAAGAAATTTTGAAACAAGTGTAACAGTGCTTCAGCCAGGCAAGCGCCATTGTGCCATTGACACTAAAAATATGCAGTGGCACTATTTACATTGCTAGAGCGTACCCATTGGTGCAACATTTAGTATAATCCACAGGTCTTCTATACCATGGTTACCATGAATGGCAATAGTCTCAACTGCATCGGGTTCGATCCCTGACCGCGTCAAACCAAAAAGACGTTAAAATATGGTACTTGTTGGTCCCTGCCTGGCGCTCGGCATTAATGGGTACAACAAGGACTGGTCGGCTCGGAGTCAGTATAATGTGTCTGAGTGGGGTATTCATGCTTCACTGCGGCATGGTATCTCAGTGGGCTAGCACTATAAAACCAGCTTTAGTCTGGGCTAGTACAAGCAGCCGCACATACACATACACACGCATGCACGTCGTCATATGAGCGAAATATTCTCAAGCACGACGTTAAACCCAATTTCACCTCACCTCACCTCAACTGCATTGGCAGACATTTTAGTAGTTAAAGTGCCAATTGGCAACACTCAAACAAATCCTGGCTGAAGCACTGGTGTAATGTTTTAGAAGTCTCTGATTCTTATCTTGTTTTCTGATTCTATGTCAGTTACAAATTCTGCAGGGTTTTCTTTATCCCACCATGTTCTAAGTTCAGTCTGGTTTCTTTAGAAGGGTGATCGTCCAGCACGGAGAGCGAAGAGTGATGTAGACATGGATGACAATACAATCAAAGCTCTTAATCAGTCAGGCAGCTCCTCAACTTCCAGCTTGTCCAATCGGTATGATCCCAGCTTACATCAGCTGCTATGTGTACCTAAGATCAGTAACAACCCTTACGAATAATTTATATTATGTTCACTAGAAGTAATGTGGAGAAATACGTCATTTCGGTTTTCATGATTGGATAAGCTATATGATCTACCATAGACGTATACATAATTTTCAAGCAGAGTGTGGAGAGACCTATTATTTCCTCCACATTACTTGGCTGCAGAGCTGTATAATGGGCAGGTTGACCATGGTGTGTTGTTTTCAGCAGCGTGGAGAGTCCTTCCAACTCCACTGAGACAGTCCATGAGTTGATTGCAAACGACTCTGACTTGGATGTGGAGTCCGAGCTGCCGTCACTGAAAAGCCTTCTTGGAGACGACGTTATAAAGAAGTTAAAACCAAAGGAGAAGAAACGTCAGGAAGTGTTGAATGGTATGTCATGATTCGGTTGGAAATGTCCATCACACCATGAGCTGATATTGGATCAGAAATGCAGGGAGTGATGGTGTTGAGAACTTTCAGTATTCATTGGTAAAATTAACAAGTAAAGTTGTGAGAAAGTGTTTCACAGTGGTTACAGTGACAGCTTTTGTACATTCATTTCAGTCTGCAACATAACTTCTCACATTTTCAAGGTTTGGTCTTCTGTTGTTATTGTTGATGTGTATGTATATTCTGTCAACAGAGTTGTTCTACACAGAGAGAGCACATGTCCGATCACTGAAGATTATTGACAGGCTGTTTCATCGGCCTATGGCAGTTGAAGGTAGCCATCATGAGCTGGCACGATACTTGTTTCCTAATCTGGATCAGATGATAGAATTACACAGTGAGTAATGTGATACTTTAATCCCCTTGTACTCCCCAGCAGCAATTGCGTAGATTGATGCTCATGATGTTGATCACTGGATTGTTTGGTCCAGACTTGATTATTTACAGACCGCCGCCATATAGCTGGAATATTGCTGAGTGCGGTGTCAAACTCAACTCACTCACTCACCCCAGCACCAATTGCGTAGATTGATGCTCATGATGTTGATCAGTGGATTGTCTGGTCCAGACTCAATTATATACAGACCGCCGCCATATAGCTGGAATATTGCTGAGTGAGGCATTAAACAAAAAAACAAACCAAGGTACAGTTACTGACCATTTCCATCACATAGAAGCCCTGACACACAAAGAGTTTGTTTAGAATAGGCGGCAAATAAACAAAACAAGACAAACATGGTTCCCTAGTAATTGTGGATTCTGTTCTCATAGATGATACTTTTTGAAAATAGCCTAATTATTAACATTTATTATTGGGCAACTACAACATGGCTGTGTTCTTCAGCTGTGAAATTGGAGCCATTCCGTTTCCTGTTCAGGGCCCCGTTCCACAAAGCGATCGTAGCGCTAAGATGATCGTAACTCCCATACTTTAACATAGACTTACGACAATCGTAGCGCTACGATCGCTTTGAGGAATGGGTCCCTGGACTATATTCAAGTTCTAAAGCAGTTCACTATCATGAGGTGAAGACTGCTGTGTTTGATTAATGTCTGAATCACATTCCATACTCGCAACAAGTGTCCAGTGGTAGATGGTTGAAAACTACTTTTATGTAATGTTCGTTGATATGTTATTTGCTTAGGTTATCGAGAAACTTTCACCTATTACAAATACTGTGGTATTTTTGTGACCAGGAGAGCTGAACAACCAGATGAGGAAACGCCGTCAGGAGAATCCAGTAGTGACAAGGGTAGCAGATCTCTTGTTGACCAGGGTAAGTTGTGGTCCTTGAGAAGTCCAAGTACCACAGAGGTTCACAGACATACTGACAGAGATAATTCTGGAAACAATGTACACTTAATAATTTCTTAAAATTCTTTGGAAAGAAAACGCAGCTATGACATGGGCCTTTTTGACCCATATAATCCTAATTTGAGCCATAATTACGATGTTGATGACATTTGATTTTAAAAACTTGCATATGTAAGAAGGGAGATAAATCTGATATTCGGCAGGGCTGTAGAATGGGACTGCTCAAATTCTTTCTCAAATTTTTATGGCCACCATCACTGCCAGTAATTCTTAAACATTATTGTCACTTACATGGAAGCCATGTACTCTTTAAAATTGGGTCACTCATATCCCACCAGATTAAATTAGTATTGCTAAATATGGTGCACTGGGACCAATCACTTGTTTGGCTCATTGGAAATATCAGATTAAGTTAACCAATGGAATGAAAATTAAACTAGAGATGTTTGCTTGGCCTCTCTACTAACTGGGGATGGTGGCAGATATATCAAACAGATCTTGAATTGGTGCCTTTTGCTATTTGCAGATTTTTGGCATATATATTTTTCATGATTTCCATGGAAACGATTTGGACTTAGTCTAAAAAAATAAAGCTGGACTTTAACTGTCAGATGATTTGTTCTTTCAAATTTGTGTGCACTGAGGGGATTTGTCATCTTCTGATGACGCTTTGTTATTGCTCAATTCAGCAATATTATAACTCTTTGAATAGAAAAACATTATGCTGGACCACACACATTCAGCAATCCATGTCATTTGGGCAGAAACACAGTGAGCTAGAACAGACATTGTAATCATATATCCTCATTACTGAGTTTTGTAGGACCTCAATATGAAATATTGATATATGTAGACAAACACGATGCAGCTGTAAAACATTGGTGATTGCACCATTCAACAACAATCAAACATTATGAAAAATGGGGTAACTACTTACATTGTCAACATACCTTCTCCAGCTGTTACCATAGTTATCAGTAACTGCACATGCTTAGCATTCTATCCTTTCTATTGCAGTTTGATGGTGAAAATGGAGAAATATTCCGTCAAGCATGTGCGGAGTACTGCCGTAACCAGTCCTTTGCCCTGGAAAACCTGAAGAAACATCAACGCAAAGAACAGCGGCTGTCCCTGTTCCTCAATGTAAGATGTTGGAGTTAAAAGTGTTATGATTCATGTCACTATTTATTTTGAAAATATCATGAAACAGTCTCAACATTTTTACAGGGACTCTAATTGGTAGATATTTAATCATGTTTCCAAAAACTCAGGATAATAGGCACTTGACGTAGTTGATTTGTGAGCTTGTGAATACATAGAATGCTGATCTGACTGACAGTCAGATGGCTTCACTATGAAAACTGTTACATAACTCTCACATATCATCATGTACAGGAAGCTGAAAGTAGTCCTCTCTGTCGCCGACTGCAACTCAAGGATCTCATGCCGGCCCAGATGCAGCGCTTGACAAAATACCCCCTGTTGATAGATAACCTCATGAAATATACTCAAGGTAGGTTGGTAGAAGGTTGCAGAAACTTACCTGTCATGTAGGGAACATAGCTACTTTCACTGGTTATGTCTTTATATACTACATATTATTTGTCATTCAGAACTGTCAAAGACTTCAGGTTAGAATAGCTTCTGAATTCCCCATGCTTGTTGTTACAAGGCGTTTTGAAATAAGGATGCTGTTACACCACAGTCGTTTGATCCTAACAGATTGTTGAGATTTTTTTCACCCGGCGCAACACGGAATGGGGGACTACGTATTCAGCAATGTTTGTCTGTACTTCCGTCTGTCCGTACATCCCGATTCTTGTTGACACGATATCTCATGAACTGTTGTACCCAATGTCTTAAAATTTGGTGACAGCCTACGTTGGGAGATTACGGTCGATTTGGGTGACCTTGACCTTATTTTCAAGGTCACCACGACACTTTGACCACTTTTCCAACTCTTGTTAACGCGATATCTCATGAACTGTTGTACCCAATGTCTTCAAATTTGGTGACAGCCTACACTGGAGGATTACGTAGACACCAGTCGATTTGGGTGACCTTGACCTTCTTTTCAAGGCCACCACGACATTTAGACCACTTTTCAAACTCTTGTTAATGCAATAGGTCGAGGAACTATTGTACCCAATGTCTTCAAATTTGGTGACAGCCTACACTGGGGGATTACACAGACAACAGTGGATATTGGTGACCTTGACCTGATCTTCAAGGTCACCACTCCACTTTGACCACTTTTTAAACTCTTGTTAACGCGATATCTCATGAACTGTTGTATCCAATGTTTTCAAATTTGGTGACAGCCTACATTTGGGGATTACACAGACACCAGTCGATTTTGGTGACCTTGACCTCATTTTCAAGGTCACCATCCCACTTTGGCCACTTTTCAAACTCTTGTTAACGCAATATGTCATAAAACATTGTACCCAATGTCTTCAATTATGTTGACAGCCTACATTGGGTTATTATACAGACACCAGTCATTTCAGGCATCTTTTATCTGACAGAAATATAAAAAGTAGTAAATATGTTATAAATATTTCGTTCTTCTTTAGCGGCGGGGGACAATTGCCATATTAGTGGCAAAAACTTGTTAAACCATGCTGTCAGCCATTGGTTTGTCCTCCTTAGTCTCTTCTAATATGAATTTTGAAAGGATAAGGAAACACATGCACCATATGAATGATTAACACAATAATGCATTTGTTCCAGTAGTTACATTGCACCCGCTCTGTAATTTCAGCCAACTCTGAAGAGCACAGTCAACTTGAGAGAGCTCGGGATAGAAGTAGACAAATTTTAGCATATGTGAACCAGGCTGTGAAAGACTGTGAAAATTATCACCGATCACGGGTTATACAGAAAAAGATAGACAAACGTCCAATAGAAAATATGTCGAGTCATCAATCTTATGAAGAAATGAAGGCAAGTTCTATTCAGCCATTCAATTCATTAACAGAATAATGAATCATGAACACTGTTGTCCTTATCTATAAAGTTGAGTCTCCTAGTTGTCATTTTGTAGTTCGTTCTTTAATTTTTCTCATTTGTTTTATACAAGGGCAAGATAATCATCATATTTAAGCCACAGTAAGATGTAAGACAGACTGTATTTTCTTTTTCTGGCATTTAGTTTTAAGGTCAGCACTGTTGAACCCTTTTAAAAAAAGGATAGTTTTCTTGAAGGACATTTTGTCATTGCCATTACACATTTACATTAGGCAGATGAACAGTTTTGTTTACAATTGTGTTTCAGAATCTGGATGTAACTCAACACAAGCTGGTGCATGATGGGGTGTTGTCGATGAAGTTGCGGTCACATCGGATGATGGATGTGCATGTGGTGCTGCTGGAGAACATCATGGTGCTGTTGCAGAAGCAGGATGATAAACTGGTCCTGTGTCAGTCTAATGCACAGTCTTCACGAGCAGAGGACAAATTTGTTAACACCCACAGCCCACTTCTCAAGCTGCAGAACTTGCTGGCCAGGAATGTGGCAACAGGTAGGTTTATGCATGTGATGCAGAGTGTGGTTTCAGTGGCCCAGTATCGTTGTACTAGAGTGCCAATGGCACAGTCAAATTGACATGGCAAGTATAAGTGTTTAGTGTCCTATAGGAGAAAGGTATTCTTCCAGTAGGGACTAAGCCCATTTCTGGTGTCCCCCGCCGTGATATTGCTGGAATATTGCTAAAAGCGGCGTAAAACTAAACTCAGTCAGTCAGTCAGTCCAGAAGGGACATTGAAATGTCAAATGATGGACTTAAAATCATTATTGTCTCTATTGTTTTCTCATATAGTAATATTTAGTACATAACATAATGCATGAGACAGATGATGTGCTTTATAAACTATGCAGTCTAATTCAGCCTTCTTTCCTTTTCAGACAAAAAAGCATTTTTCGTTGTAAATACAGAAAACAGTGGACCTCAGATCTATGAGTTTGTCGCCCCGACACAAGATGAGAGGAAAAAGTAAGCACTTCTCCATATGTCCAGAAGCTGTTCTTACACTATGTTCATAGTTGACATAGATGGTGCATTCACTTCAGAGCTTACAGATGTATGTATGTATGCGTGCGTGCGTATGCATGTATTTATTGAATGGGTAAATGTCCCAAATTATGTCACACTTTCCAAAGTTATTGTTCATTTTGTTGATGATTTTTGTATTTCAAATGCTACAAGCTTTCAATGGAGGCCATGGGTTCAAGAACGTCGTTTTTTGTAGTTATCAAGAAATAACATTCAGTTTTGATTCTGCATCAGCCAGTCTGAAAATAAGAACATACACACTTTCAGTTATCTAGGAATAAGAAGCTGCGAACCCAAATCTCAAAGAAAGAAAAGTTGACTTGTTTCAGAAAATAATACATTACTACTTTACGAAGGTTATATGAATCCTGATCAAAAGGTCGAAGTACAGACTACCTACTGGACACATGAATATAGATATGTATCAGAGCACACTGACAGTGAAACATGTGTGTTGAATGGTTGAAATGCAGCCCACTTGACCATCGAGTAGCATATCTGAACTTATTTTAGATTAAATGTTATAACAATATAAAATACTTGTTGCCAACTGACGGAGTACACTATGACTCTGTCTTGCAGGTGGATGAAATATATCAATGATTCAGTAGAGGAGGTGAAGAAAAGGGAAGGATCATCGAAGTTTACCCCATTTGTACCCCCCAAATTACCACCAGCAATAGTGCCCCCTCCAGGAAACCATGAACCAGAGACCATCTCATTACGGAGAGATCAGATCAGGTCAGTGTCATCACCTCAAAACAACACAATCTCCACTGTATCACCATTGAAACAAAGAGGAATTCATCCGTACTATTTGCAACAACAGATAGTTTTGCCTACATGCTCATGCCAGTACAAATAGAAATCCATAGTAGCACCAGTCTATTCTGAAAAGTTTTGGGTTTTTTCAAATTCATCATATGGTTGATATGTCAGTCATACTGTTTCTGAAGTGTGAATCATGTTTGCCTCTTCTGACATTTCTACTTGCCTGTATTCAATTATGTATTGAAAATTAATGACTAAACACCAAGATCGTATTGGTATGGTGTTTAAACATGGTGTCATATTTCTACTGTGTGTGTCAATGTGTACTCACGAGTAAAGATATGGATGGTTGTTGATTCAGGGTACATGATTCACGGTCAACAACACCGCCACATGAAGCGTCGCGGCCACCAACGCAAGTTGGCTCGGGAAACAGCAGACATGACCCAGACATCTGAATCTACACTGATTCAGCCACATGAAGTTCACATATCAGATCCTGTAGTGGGGCAGGCAGAACAGGTCCTCACCCCAATAGGTAGGTGCCTCCCTCCACTAACACATCTGAGGAGCAAACACCTGGGTTACGATTCAGGATCAGCATACCACTTCAATCCTACTGGCTCACATCAAACCATAATTGAAAACATGTCAATGTGTGCTCATTGACACCTTTGACCACATTCTTGATAAGTATGCCTGTTTTAACATTCAGCTGAACAATTTCTGAAGTAATTCAATTTCTTTCTTTATGTAGGTCTAATAACCATAGTTTTTGAGTTCTGTGAGGGCTAATGAATCATTGACAGTGCTATTTTTGTAAAATTCATTTACGTTCATGTTGGGAAGGGTCTTAATGAGCAAGTATCTGAATGTAATTATTGGATGGGTGAGAACAACTAGCTTTGGATGTGGTATGTCTCTGAATTTTACAAGTCAATTTATGACAGTTGAATTTATGAATATGTCTTTTGAAGTTTTGTACTTAAATTATCTATTCAAATTATTAATAATGTAAATGTAAAGCTTTGTAGCAAGTAATCATATATAACATTTCATTAACAGTTTAAATATCATCGATGTTAAAGGATAATATTTGTATTGTAAATGCCCTTGTTGGCCAGTGATCCCAGCTTCTGCTGTTTGACTAACTAACAAGAATTTTATTTCACTCTTGCCTTGCATATTTACTTGCTTGTACGGCGTGTTACCTCTCAGCTTAACAGAACGCTTCCTACATAACCCATCATAAGTGTTGAGAGCGCCATGTGGTACTACGGCAATAGCAGACACCTGTGTGTGTGTTACACGTGTGACTTCTCTGGTAACAACACACTGACACATTGTTCTATATATATATGAATATGTACACACATCACACCATGTTCTGTTAAATCTGTTTTGTAAACACCTGTCACTTCAATTCCTGCCTGAAGTAATCTCCCTTCTTATATCCTGTATACATTATTCCCACATACAGGGCTGCACCAATAATATATGACATTAACAAATAATTTAGGCCATTCAGGTAGGTCTGCACCAATAATGCAGGACATTCAGGCACGTCTGCATCCATAATGCAGACATTCAGGTAGGGTAGGGTTGTACCAATAATGCTGGACAGTAAAGTAGGTCTGAAGCAGTAATGCAGGACATTCAGGTAGGTCTGAACCAATAATGCAGGATGTTCAGGTTGGTCTGAACCAGTAATGCAGGCCATTCAGGTAGATCTGAACCAGTAATGCATGACTTTGGGGTAGGTCTGAACCAGTAATGCAGGCCATTCAGGTAGGTCTGAACCAGTAATGCAGGACTTTGGGGTAGGTCTGAACCAGTAATGCAGGACATTTAGGTAGGTCTGAACCAGTAGTGCAGGCCATTCAGGTAGGTCTGAACCAGTAATGCAGGACTTTCGGGTAGGTCTGAACCAGTAATGCAGGACTTTCGGGTAGGTCTGAACCAGTAATGCAGGACATCCAGGTAGGGCTGCACCAAACATGCGTCCAAGTAGGGGTGGAGCAGTAATACAGAACAACTGTCAGTAGTACAGAAGATTCAATATTGTTTATAGGAAAGTTGGTTTATAATTCTGCTTGATAACATATTTTCTCTTGCACTATAGTTTGGCATGAAATGCATGTGGACCCGTTTTTTTGTAAATATCTCTTCATCCAATGACTCAATCTATCTCAAACTGTGCAAGTGGATGTTTTGTCAGACAACCTAATCACATTGTAAATCACCGATTTTATGCATTTGTATTAAAGAATCTGTCTATGTAACTGTCAACAAAATAAACAGCAGAACGCAAACTGCTTGCAGAGGGAGGGAGCCAATGACCTGTCACAGTGGCAGTGTTGGGTCATAAAGGTCAATGCAGTTCATGATAGTTACCTGTGCACTGCACAGTGATAGACCGTTTGGATCATTCACATTGACTACTTCTAGCTGTCATCATGAAATCTTATTCAGATGATGCTAAACGTTTAATTAGAAATGTGTTTAATTTTTTTTTAAAAGAGAGCAAACGTAGCAAACCGATTTATAAGGTGTCGGATTACATGAAACGTACAACTTTTGCTCTTGGCATGAAAAAGAACATTGTGCTAAAAATTGTGAAAAATGAACCAACAACCAATAAACAAAACCTTGTACAAAAAGGTAGGCATCCAAAGTTAGATTCTTTTGACATCAGGGTCATCAGAGATGTCATTCGCCGGCTATTTGCTAGAAATGAACACCTCTTCATACCTGTCACGTGCATAGCTGACCTACATTGACGAACGTTGACCTTTATGACCCAACACTGCCGCTGTTACAGGTCATTGGCTCCCTCCCTCTGCAAGCATTCTGCGTTCTGCTGTTTATTTTGTTGACAGTTACATAGACAGATTCTTTAATACAAATGCATAAAATCGGTGATTTACAATGTGATTAGGTTGTCTGACAAAACATCCACTTGCACAGTTTGAGATAGATTGGGTCATTGGATGAAGAGATATCTACAAAAAACCGGGTCCACATGCATTTCATGCCAAACTATAATTGAAAGAATCCTTTAAGTCTGAAATTAGGAGGCAGATTTTTTTAGACTATGATATGCAGTATTTTTATAGTTAGTAATCTCACGAGAACAGATCTTGTATATCCAAGAGGCAGAACATTAGGTAGCAGTAGTAATTATGAACAATCATTCACCTAACCTGTATTCTGAAGGAAGTAGTTACATTTTGAAATCGTGTTCTGCACTTGAACGGACAGATTTTTATAGCAATTTTCTCAGTTTTTTTAAAATAGTAATTCCCTTGTTTTCCTTTATCTGATTGTATTGGCACTGTAACTTTGAGTTGACCTTGTACCCAGCAAGCTGTTGAACAGCACTATGCATGTTGTAATCTATTTGATCATCAGGGTTTGTCCAGATTCACAATGTCAAGTTGTCTCCCTGTCTTGCCCATTATAAAACATCTTACATTGACAGCAGCAGGCATTATGTGGATTGTTTAACACCTGGTTTGAATTACAGTTTTAAATATTTTTATTCACAGTTAACTTAAATATAATTCAGCTAACTAAACATTATTCCTCTTACCAAACACTTAAGTATATGTCTATATGTTTTCAAGTGTAGTGGCTTCATTTCAGTTGTCCTCAGTAAGTATTCTGAAGGCATTGGGAGACTGGATAAACCCTGTGGTCAGTTATATTATTATTTCAGTTGTGTTAGTAGGGAAGTCATTTGTTAGTGTTAGACATATTCTAGATAAACACCACAGTCATCATCAGTCCTCATCTATAAAGATAAATGTGACGTTAGGATTCTAGCATAGCATTGAGGTTATATTGGTCTGTAGTCCCCATCCACCATGTTGTTTTTGTGCTATTCTAGGTTTGTGAAAGTGTTACGGGAGTCTCAGTAGACAGGTTAATTCATCCAGTGTGTGAGGCCAGTCTGCATATCGGCCTTGGCACTATTGCTGTCCTAGGTTCAGGGGCGGTGGGGTAGCCTCGTGGTTAAAGCATTCGCTCATAACACTGAAGACCCAGGTTTGATTCCCCACATGGGTACAATGTGTAAAGCCCATTACTGGTGTTCCCTGCTGTGATATTGCTGGAATATTGTTAAAAGCGGTGTAAAACTCACTCACTCACTCCTAAGTTTATGTTGAGGTAGTGTAGTTACAGCAGGTGTGAATAGATCCTGGCTTCAGTATGGCAGAGTATTTTGACTATGATCACTTTTGGGTTTACAGAGAAAACAATCTGACACTTCGTGTTATGGGATCACTTGGGGGTCACCATTTGTTCTCTCAATAACGTTTTCTAAATTTCAGGAATTACAAATAATGTTGTACATTTTTTTGTTTGAAAAGATGTTCTTGCCAATATGTTCAGAATTAGTCAGGTTTCTTTTTAGAATTTCATATAAACTTTATTTTCTTTATAATGAACTGGTGGTGGATAACCTTGACCTCTGAGAAAAGCGATACTAGCATTGAAGAGTCTCTGAACTCGTTTTAGTATAACAGCATTAACATGTGGTGTTGCTTTGCTTTCCATGTTGGATCATATCATTAGACATAGATGCTGCTGCTTAAGTCAAGATGTAGTTTGTGAAGCTGTTGGTATTATCCTGGCCGTGGATTGTCATGATTGTAGAAACTGAAAGTGCAGGCCAATATTCGTGGATAATAGATGTTTGTATTTTCAATGTTATCACCATGGAAACATACACACTTTGTTTGCTATTGCCAACAAATGCCTTCTGCCCGCCACACTAATACACTGACCAAATGTTGCCCTTTGCGTCACCTTTGACCTTGATGATTTGCATGCTCTCCATTTATGTGCTACCTACTCCATACCAAACAGAAAAACTTCGAAGAAATGACGAATCTTTGGAGGCTTCAATGGAAGAACGGGAAAAAATATTGGCACAAATTCAGGGCTTGCCTATTGATGAGACTCGGGGCACTGCCGAGGTTAGTTGTCGTGGTGATGAAAACGTTTGGTTCACGATTTTGAAATTTTTCCTAAGTTTGAAATACATTCAATGGAAGGGAAGGAGTTATGGTTTCATTTTATCATTGGTGTATGGAATATCTATTTTCAATTTCATATCTTTTCCTGTAGTTAATTTTTCAACATGAATTTCTATATTTTGATCCAGTTATATGTATTTAAAAGTTATTTTTTTAGATAAGAAAAAGGAAAGAAATTCTATTTATAGCCAACAAAGAATATGATAAATCTCCTGTGAAGACAATGATTTGAAGTTGGAAGCACAATTGTTGGTGTGACTAGACCACAGATGTTTGTGCTTATCAGGTTGACACTGTGATGGGCGGTAACCATGACGACAACGAGAGCAGCAGCCTTTTTCTGATAAAAGCAGCACAGGAAATAAATTCTCAGCTGATGCAACTTGTGATAAACTCAAACAGTAACCAGGCCCCAATGGCATCCCCATCATCCACTCCACAAACACCTCATTGTATGTTGGTCTAACATTCTCCATGATTGTCTTGTCGGGTATAAGTTGGTATGTCCCCATCTAAACCGCAAAGAAATATTGCTGTATTGAAATTAGTAGTTGTACTGTATATTGATGATAGAAAAAAAAGAATTCATTAACCAGAAAATTAAATGATGGAATATTCAATCATTTAGCCATTATTTTCAAAGTTATTGACTTTGTGAGCTCTTTACTGGTATAGAATTTTTTTTCTTCTTTTGTTTCCTGAGCAGCTGAACAAAAGCATGTTAAACACATGAAGTAAACATTTTTGTAGTTACATTTTGAATAGATATTTGTTTCTATTTTTATTTTTACAATTTTTAGCACTGGTATACAATGTAAATCGAACTTTAAATAAAACAAATACATTTTGATATGTTTTTGGATAGTATGCTGATAACAAACATAATGGTAATATTATTTAATATCCAAGATCTGTTAGAATGTCTGAAGCAGCTAGGTGTAGAGTCCAGGTGTTTTGTATGCTTCAGAGATCTGTTTTTGAGGTGGTTGTATTCTGTTCTCCCTCCTCTTTCTTCCCTTTCATTTAGAAGGAAAGACTAAAGTGGGGCGAGGGATACATAAAATGTGTCAAATGTAACTGAATGATACTTTGCTTACCACCACTTTTGAATGTTTATGTCCATCTTAGGGTGATAAGTTAAGCCATGAGCAATAATCAGGGTGATTATAATCACAACCAGCAGATCCGTGTATCAAAGGGAGACAACTCTGCACAACCTTCATTCACTTGCTTCTCATGCTTCCAACATTATCTGTCCAATCCATCCACTGTTTGGAACTGCTTTTGTTCAGCTGCAGTACCAAACACATCAGTATTAGGTTACCCAGTTCTGTCATCATCAGCTACTGCTAACTACAAGGGGACATACTTCTTATGCTGTACAGTTTCAATGTGTTTCACATTCAATGTTAAATAAGCCATGTGTTTGTTCTGGGGACAGGCTAGATGAGCTAGAACCTACATTACAGTGTTACAGTTTTGTCTTGTCCAGTTCATTGACACTCATATCAAAATTGGGAAAGAAGGCTGCATTTAATGATGCACGCAGCCCTTTCATTGGTTTCCTTTTTAGACAAGTTTGATTCACAGTTCCACTTACTTCATTTCCTGGGTTTGGTATTTCATTTCCGTGTACTTTTCTCACCATCATTTCAATACTTTTTTCTTGTTGATATTGATATTTGTTCTCATGGTAAAATAAATTCACTGTACTTCTTCTGTTTGCATCCTTTGCAGATGCAGTATGTTACACAAGCTTAATTTCAGTGCACTTTGCAGACAAAATCACTGACACTAGCTTCATGATAAAATGCTCACAAGATTTAAACAGCTTACTCTACAATTCTAGCATTTCTCTCTTCAATGTAATACTAATAGTTAAGTCAATACTTTTAATGTAATGAGCAATATAAAAGTCATGGGTTTTTTTCAAACTTGTTTACAATTACTTTCATACATCATTGTTAGTATCATTGTTTAACATTATGCATGTGTAATCATCTGTCATCATAATACAGGTTGAGGCCATATAGCTTGGTCAACTCACATCAGAAACTTTATCCAAGCTTAAGAGCCCACTGGTTGAGGGAGCAGATGCATGTGCTTTAGTGTATTTTATAATCAAACATATACATTAACTATTTCCTTTTTTATTTTTCCAGTGAAATCATCTGAAATATGATCAAATAAATCTTTGCATAGAAGAACATATTCAGCCGCATAACTTACTTAGGTTTGAAAGATGAAAATATTTTCAGAAATGGAGTTCCAATGTTAAAGTCAGACATCAGTAGTAACTTGACCTTGCAGACAGCTCCCTCACAGACAGGGCTGGGTTAAACTGCATCTTGTATCCATGCATAATTCATGGACTTAACCAGGTTTTTTAACATTTAACTGTAACCACGGTAATGTAGGTTCCAAATTGTGTCCTCCCCTTTAAACAAATGTGATTATGTTCAATGTCATGTAAAACTGTTCATGTTTCAATTTCAATCAACAGATTGAGGACGTGCGAGTTTGAAATCCTTAACATGTGACTTGTTGAACTGCCATGTTTGTTGCTGTTGATCAGCAATGGTCGTCCTATTAACAACATGACCTGCATGTTTCACTGACATGCTTTGCTCATCAGGGGAGTGTTCATGACGACAGATGCGACGTTGAATGACCACAAGTGCATGCCAGATCCTTGTTAATGTCAGAATGTGGTGGTTGCCAAGGTTGAAGTAATAATGTGGTATTCATGCGCATATGTTCTTTATATATCATGGAAGTAAAAAGTAATTTAGCAAGAAAAATCTTATTTACACAGAAAAAAAACTGGTTTGTTGTGTCAAAACAAAAAAACAAAACAAAAGTTTTTTTTATACTTTTTCAAAGTCCTTTGGCAGATCTGGTAGAAATCTGGGTGTGAATGATATATATCAATCCAGGAAAAAAATACATGAAAATGGCTTGGCATTGTAAAATAGTTATGGCATTTGTGTTCACAACAGCATGACGTCTTCTTGAATGCAACTCAGTTGAACAAAAAACATTCCATTCAGCCGTTTGCAATCTGTTGGTTAAGATTGACTGGTTGATTGTTTCAGTTAGTATAGGGCATTTTAGTAAATGAAACTGCTTGATATTTTGACCATGTGGCTGTAGATATAGACTAACATTAAAGGGGGACAACTTCCATGTTGAAATTGTCTTGGTAAATACCTGAAGTGATAAGGTTGTTGGTATAGGCATGCAGCCTACTTTGACACTAGTGTCCCCCTTTAAGACTGCTGCAACATGGACTTGGCAGGTGCCTGTGAAGGCTGTCGTGGGTTGTGTACTGACATGTACTGTGTTTGAATACAGCAGGGGCAGCACGAGCAGAACAGCCGAAGGTTACAATTCCGATTCCTATGGAACAACTAAGGGATATGGCAATAAGGATGAATCAGATTCTCACCAAGTTACTAGTACGTATGCACTTGGAACCAAACTCAGTATTCCAGGAATGAGTTTTCTCTTGTTGATTCTACCGAAGTGATGCAATGTCATTTTTTTACCACCAGAAAAAAAAGTTTGACAAAAGTGTAACCTGTAGATAAGTTTACCCCTTCTACAGATGGCTTTTTAGGTCCTCCAAATTCGGCTTATCTACAGTCATATTCGGTGGATGCTCAGTGCCTCATACTTAGTGTAAGAGGTGATTTAGATGTGGATTTGGTGGTCACACTGTCTACAAGGGAAACCGACTGTCAGCTGTGACTACTGATTGTTCTTATTAACGTTGTGATATACAATAAACAAGAAGTTGCCATCCATATACTCGTCTTACATATTAACAAGTGGTTGGACAGATCCAGGTTCCACCACAGGCCACATTGATATAGCTGTAATAATGCTGACTGATGTGTTTACTGTCCTATGTTAAATTACCAGAAACAGAAGATAAATTTAAACAAGGCTAACTATAGGTAGCTTTACTAAAGTTATCAGATCAAAGTGCTGTATGATTATTGTGGGACAAGTGCTTTTCAGGGCCGACAGTGGTGGTTGGGGCTTTGAAAGTAGTGTGCTACAGCAGTGTTTGTACAGCTTCATACCACTGTATTTTGTTTCAGGCAATATACTTTAGAATATTCAGATGTCATATTTGTTTTGGATAGGTACAAGAGATTGAATCTCTTGAAATTAGTTTAATAGTTTATGTACGTAATTGGCCTAAAACAATCCTCTTGACCAAACTGCAGAAACAGGGAACTTGAGGTTCATTGTTTGATTGTTTTAGTCTGCTGTGAATAATCAGGAAGAGGAGAAGGAGGGTTTACGAGAAGAACTGCGCCAGGCCCAGGAGAAACTCACCTCCCTGAGGCAAATCCAGATGGCGGTCATGGGAGGCAGCTTGCCCCATTCCCGTCCATCCAGTATCGTGTCTGCCGGCTCCTCCGCCACTGAGGAAGAGGGAGCGGCACAAGTGCCCTCCGTTAATGGTAAGAAGATGCTGTGGTCCATTAGATGCTGTGGACTCCAGTTAAAAGCAATGGTACTTTTTCATAGAAAAAACAGATGACAGGAGAGCAGATATTATTGCACCCTACATTGAACAACAATGTTCTCAATTAGCTGTAAACCCCTGATTTCTAATTTTCAGCAGAATTCTGGATAATGTGTTTTGGTAGTATTCTTTCTTTTGCTGTTTAATTTAGTTACTCTTGTGGACATCTCTTGTATTGTTGTTTGTGTGTGTGTTTTCAGATGTAGCGAATAGCCTGCGAGAACAAGCCCAGGAGATGATGAGTGCTGTGGGTCTGACCCGTCAGGATGACGAGCTGGAGAAGAAGACGTCTGCTGCTAAGAAGACCCCCTTGTCCTCCTCCTCCTCCTTGAATGGTGAGAAGGTCACAAGTAGTACACCTGTCTTGGCAAACACAGCCACGGACAGTGACAGTGATGATCATGACTATGTGGAGATTCCTGATGACTTGCCGCCACTCAATGAAGAGAGGCTGGCCAGCTCCAACAATAACTCTGAGGGAGATACTCTTAAAACTGTCAGTGCGGAAAACTCTAAGAATGAAGTTGTCTCTGCAACAGGACAATTTGCTGATAAGGCAGAGATAGAGTCGGTGATATCCCAGGAAATGATGAGTTCCACTCAAACTACCGACCTTGACGAAGGTGCTAATGACTCTGATTCTGAATCCACACCCACGTCTATCCCCAACCTTGGGGACTTGGGTGAGACGGACACAGACTCAGTTCAGAAATTTGATGGTGTTGTGTTACCTGGAGGAATATCTGCTGAAGAGTTGATGGCTGGAAATCAGACCAAGCCATCAACTGGTGATGAGAAAAGTGATATGACCTTGTCTTCAAAAGAGTCAGCAGTAGATCCGATTGAAATCTAGTACACTAAAGCATTACAGAGTTTCTACACACATTCATTGAGGTTCGCCTTACTCAACACTTCAGCTTCCAAGATTGGGAATAGCCTTGTGTGGTTCATCATCTCTGAAGGCAGCGAAGGCAGAGTAGATTGACCTATTTGTTGACATAAGTAATCAAGATTTCAGATAATGGATGGTATGTTCTAGAATCATGTGACAAATGAAAGAAAAGCACTGGTAGTTTTTAATCAAGTCCTACACATACCAAGTATATACGTATACCTTGATCAAAAGACATTATTTTTTTGTGCCAAATTGTGATATTCATGTAAGATATTCACTGGAATAATGTAAATTATACATTTTAGATATCAAGCTTTTTGTGCAAGTTTTAGTATTCTGTGCTTAGTTTTGGATGCAAGAGTGTTTTCATACAATTGTCACTTGTGTGTATATGGTCATTATAGTAGCATAACTAGACCTTGTCACCCATTCTGTTAGGGAGGTAACTCTTACCAATTTATGAGTGAGTAGTCTCCCCTGATTGTATGACAACATTGAACTTAATGCTCTGCCTTAGCTGCCCTGATGGACCCTTCTCCATATTGAAACACATCATGTTTTCTGATGGAGAAAAAGCTGTAGATTTGGAGCCATGCTTGATCAAATTGTGAACTTTTTTTAAAGGGAAAGTGCTCTCTATGTGTTATGTAGCATTGTACAAAAGTGTTAATATGTAAATATGTGTATCAATGATCCTGTCCAACAAGGGAAATGATTTGTATAGCTGGACAACCTGTTCAATATGTGTATTGTTTATAGACTAACATTATTATTATTATAATTATTATTATTATAGTTATTATTATGATTATTATTATTATCGGTGAAGCTGACAGCTCCTCCATATACCACCATACCAAGCAGGCCTCCGTGATCTGCCATGTTTGCATTAAGAAATGGAGATTTTATATGAATTTACCAATATCAAAATACAACCTATGCTTACAGAGTGCGACTTGTTACAGAGACAAGGGTGCCTCTCTCCTAACAGCAGACACTGATGCTCCATAAACACATTTGATGATAAAGTTACCGATTTGATTTTTGTTTAGTGCAGTGAAATTTGCAAACTGTCTTTATTTTTATAACACAAGGAGACGCTGGAAGGATCCTGTTTCGTGTGGAATTGATTGTAGTGGTAATGCAAATGTATGGACAGGAGCACCAGTGTCTGGTGATGCCTACTTATGCAATGTGACCATGTATGTGTATTTATACAACTCTCATATTCATCACTCTGTACCCATCTATTCTCGCAGCCTACTAAACCATCACTTACATATAGCCTCAGGAACCTAACTTGTTTCCCGCACAGGACATATGTTGATTGGTCAACTCCAGATGAAACTGCCAGTCTGAGTCAGGAGTCATTACAGACCTAACATTAGCCTTTCGCTCCTTGGTTGTCATTATAGATTCTGCTCCAGTGCAATGTGGGTCGTTACTTAGGGAGTAAGTGTAGACATAGCTGATTAAACACAAATAACTTCAAAGACGTTATACTTAATGATGGTGTGTTTGCATTTGTTTTAAGATGATATTTACTGATATGTCAATCACATATTGATTTGTACTTCCTTTTCATTTATTTTCTTTTATTAACATGAGACTGATGTTTAGTTCACTCAAAAAATCATTTCTCCAAATACCTATCATCTTAACAAGTGATACTCATACCCTCAGTAATTGTGGATGTTAAAGTTCCACTTATCATGTTGGACAGTATAAACAGATCAGGTATATGTTGTAAATCAGACAGGATTGTTTCAATGTGTAATCTCAATTCAGAAACTCAGAAACAAACTGAGGATTTTCCTTTAATTTAGTCCTCAAAACATGAAAGTCACTTTAGTGATTGCGAGGCATGATTAACTCAGTCTCTAAAAAGTAATGCTTACTCCTGTTTGAGTCATGTATAGAATTTTGTGAAGAAATTACGTTTACTGTGCATAAATGCCTTGATACTTTCCTGACTGATGTTGAGTTTCTTGGAAGAAATGTTGTTTGACATTTTTCAGTGTACAAGGGTTATTTATCTCTGGGATGGTAAAGGAAGGTGTGTAGCAGTCAGTGTGCAAGATGGATGCTGTGTTGATCATGATGCACCACCCGCCTTTTGAGTTGTTCTTTGGTGCATACGTACCACTGCTGAAGCAGTGTCTGTGGAATTTTTAGGACTCCATTGTAATATGTCTTGGTAAATCTTTGCAGATACATTTATACATACAAAAACTAATACACCCCAATTATTGAATTTGTTTTCATTAATTTATGATGTTGGAAATAATATCTTTTTCAAGAGAAGACAGATTTTAAGACAAAAGCAAAAGATATGCTTCAATAACTCAATTACAAGATGTTCCTTTCAGCAAATCTGAGTCAAAGTAACGAGTTTGGCTTCACTCCATTTCCATTTGCTGTTATATTCTCATTCCTGGATAGGAATAGGTTTGTGTAAATGGCGTCCCCCTTCTTGAACCAAATCAGGTACTGGTGTGTTGAAGTTCAACATGTTTCCAGGTTAGATTTTGAGATGAGTATGTCATGTCCCTCTGTGAATGAGCAGACTTGCATGGATGTACGCTTCACATGACTCCTTGCATACTGTCCATATACACTTTCCTTTCTGATCACTTCATCCCAGACAAGGCTGCAGAGCAGATACAAAGTCACAAGTGGAATAAACTGCATATTTCAAATATAGTCAGTGTGTTATGTTGTGTTTGGAATGAAAATCTCCCAGGAGGAACCAACATGGCTTCATTGTGGATATCTTTGATTGAGCCATACACAACATGCATGACCCATTACGCTAGGGGTATGACTGTATGAATAATGAATATTGTTTATGCTGTACTCAGAAACAGCTATAAAAATGCTATAAAAAGTGATACAACTTTGGTAATATTAGGTAATTAACTTGATATCTGCACAATCTTGACCAGAGGAGAGATCTTGATGATTAAATATTTAGTGGGTGCTATTAAAACACTATTTTGACATTGAATTAAAGAAAACAGCCTTCATAACCCCCTTGCAGAATCATATAAGGGCATAATGGTTTAGGAATGTCCATATATGGGAGGGCCCTATTGCTTAACATTAAGTGAAGTGCAACCTGAATTTTGCCCTATTACTTATTTGTGTATACGAGAACATTGGACACACTTTCATGGACAAGCAACAAGGAAGATGAGGAAGGATAACCTGTTGTAACACCTATTGTGCATAGTTTGCATGTGCTTGGTGAGTGTTCTTCATATTCATGACAAAAACTACTTGCTTGAAATCTCTCAGTACAATACAGTGAGAGATGAACATATCTTGCACAGAGAAAGTACTAGTATCCAGTTCCATGCAGCATCAGGAGAAAAACAATAATTTCTGGTTTTCAGAATGATTGGATGCTATGTAATTTGTCTGGTAGTACTTAGTACAAAATGGTTATTATTGTCAAAAGTAGACTTAATTACGGAAATAATGATTGATGATATTATTGAAAAGAGCAAATTTCCTACCCAAATTGTACCAGACATTTGCAGGAGCCTCAATTTAGGCATCCCTGCTATGTACATATTCTCCTATCTATTACAAATGCTATTGGACAGCACATATGGTGAGCTAGTTACAATATTCCACAATTAAAACATTCTGTGACATGGGTTTTGAATTAAGAAGCGTCTCAGGGATTCATATTGCAGGAACTTTGAAACACAGTAATATTACACATAGACAATGCTTGATTCCCATGTTCTCAAGACAAGGGAGCAGCCAGAAGATACAAATACACTGTGCATATTATACATGCATTAAAGAACAATAGCAACATATATAAATGTGATAAATGATTAAACAGTAAAAGAATCTCAAGACCTTACGTCAAGAAAAACTTCTTTTTTCATCAGACCCCCAAAATTACCAGGAAAGTTATGACCATTTCTTATGTATTGTTTAGCAGCTGTTATCATATTATTGCTTTCCATCTCTTGCTGCAGCATGCATGGGCATGACACCAACGTGGCAAATCATGTGCTATTTCCGTGTGGCCAGCAATTTTAATTTTAAACATTTTTCTTTCATAAATGATATCACATTTTGCAGTCTATCAATACGAACGATGCAGTCGATTTAAGCACAGTTCAAGGCTGTGGTTATTTTTTGAAAGTACATACCCATTGTTTACAAAGATGAAATTAAACATTATTGCAGTTGTTTTTCATTTATATATAGATGGTATATTGATCTATGTCCCGTAATTGTCGGGTTTTTTTTCGACTGCCGATATGGTAACATCAGTGCCGTGCACGATTGGTGGACGAGTGCAAGCAGGAGCTCACAGCAGCTCACATATCCAAAGCGATACCTCATTTTGGCAAACAGGCAGCTGAACGCGGATAAATGATACTAATTAAACTAAATGTTTTATTGGTAACACAGTTATATAAAAAATAAAAAATACGTTCTTTTTGTCAGTCAGTTCAATCTTAAACACTCAGAAATTTTATGACAGAAGCGGATTGAGTTCACACAAAACTCAAAATGTACACAGTACAGTATAGTTCTAGCTCGGAGCACCGCGTATACTGAGCGACTCCTTGGCTTCTAGCTGCAATAAACTGGTTCGCCTGTTCTATGGCGCTTGCGTCGTCTTCAGCGCGAAATGTACGCATGATAAAATTTAGATCGTTTTCTCACACCAGAGACCATATAATGCTCACATATAATACGTTTGGACACTTTTTGTTAAGGCTGTGTTTCCACCAAAATGATCAAATAGTACATATTAATTTATGAAATTCTGATTAATTCTTTTTGGAAATTGAGCGAATAAAACAAGCATACTTTTCCAATATTTTTTCCATTGTTTCACAGTAAAACACATGGGAAGAAAATACCATGCATTCGGTACATTACACGACTACCATTGCAGCATATTTCCTTGTTATTGATGATGATGATGATGATGATGATGATGATGATGAGAAGACTATTAATAATAATTTACTTAGCTCAGTTTGTTTCAATATAAATGATAATTCCCATTCATTATATTTCCTTCTCCAGTAACACCAAAGTGTCAATTCATTGATCGCAATGCAGAGGACAAAAAGTAACTTTTCAAACATCTATTATCTGCATTATGTGTGGGTTTTGAAATATTGTGATTTGAAATATTGTATTCATATTTTCAAAATACTTTACAAATTTATCAGCACGTCAAGAAATAATTAATGCATTAACTCATGGACCTTTAGGTAGATCAGTGTGTTGATGATAAAATATTAAATTATAAATATTGGAAAGAGTAACCAAAACTCTCCTTGAATGCCCAGGTGTTTACAAAAAGTATGTTTTAATTGTTATGTCTGAGTAATGGTCAACTGTCATGAGTGTTCGTATCAATACACTAGTAGTCAATCAAATCAAACAGTTTATCTGGCAATAAAACATCATGGCACATCATGAAGAATAGTATAAGAACGCTTAATAGCAGAAATGGGTGAAAGACAACATTAATTTGACTTAGTATTTTGACATAAGTACAGTGTAAAGAACATAATGTTATAAAAATATTTTCATTTTCTGATGATATTGCCCAAACTATGAACAAATCTTAGCAGTCATACATTTGTTAAACGAGAAACAGTTGATAATTGTTTTCAGCCAGACTTGTTACTGATTGTCCACTGTTATTGTGGAGAATCAGGGGGGTGTTAGTTCAAGATTGCTGAATATTGTCACTTCTGCTTCATAATACTTCAGTAGAATCTGACCATGGCATCAGGACATAACAGATGAGGAAATCTAATATAGGAACATTATCTTTTACAATTAAAGTTACTGAAGCATGCTAAAAAATATTAGTGGCATAATAGATACTTGAATTCTAATTCAGGACTGGCTGAAGACACACAGTACACTTCACTAATATTTACTCTCCTGTTCTGAATGGTCATGGGTATATTTAAGGTATTTATCAGTTCTGTATTACATTGTGTACTTTTCCATTTTTAACATTTTTTCACCATAAACAACATGTTTTTTTAATATACAATCAGTATGTCAGGTATGTTGATACATGTTTCGAGCTTCGTGTCCTCAATATTTTATACCTCTGTAGACCCAGTCAGTTTTTCATGGTATTAATCAACTTTGGATGGTATGTACATGTAGAACATGCTAAACATAAATATCTTTAAAGAGTGTTTTGAGTGATGACCAGCTGGTAGAGGACTCTGCTGTGATGAATAAGCTATGGTTTTTGTGTAAAAAGCTCTTTGATGTGAAGATAATATGAACAATTATATTTTGAAACCATCTAAGATTATTTCTTATGCATCTTTATGACATGAAATTGAAAATTTCCCATGCTTTTTTTTATGAGAAACAGTTCCCTTTTTTTATGAGTATATGCTCTTGTAAAACATTGGTTGAGTAAAGTCTCATACAATATTGTACTTCCCTTTTTATTATTTTTTGAGTGAAAATTATCAATTGGTTAAACTGGGCATGGGCATATCGTTCTAAAATTTATGATACACTTTTCAAACAATATTTTAAGACATAACTTTTTGCCTTTTCAAAACATTTCTTGCAATTTTGGAGACATGCTTTCAGTACATTTAAGTGTAATGTTACCTGCAAGTTTAGCCAGAATGTATTCATTGCTTCTCTTCTTAAATCCTGGTATCTTTATATCCTTTGTTATCATTAAAGCTAATATTATGGCCAATAAAATATAAATATACGTTAATAAATATTTATTTGTAGATTATCCGTCCTAAAACTAACCTGCTAATTACGTTTATTAATGTTCACGAGGATTGATAAACTGCATACTTTGCTTCAAGACACAATTGTATTATATTCTGACTGGGAAGTTTCGATTTCATGCATTTCTTCGTTTTTGACAATGGAACAATATCGAGGAAGATAGAATTTGCCTCACTGTAATGAAGCTGGTCCCTTTTCGCCCTCAAAGCTCGTCAGGAACTGATGAAGGATGCGGAACCACGTATATTTAGTTTCGGAGAGGAGACTATCGAGAGTATCAATGTTTTGGGTTTGTGCTCAAAGGGAGACAACTCAATCAACTCAAAAGCGTATCAATTTCAAAGTAATGGTCAAAGGGAGAGAACTGAACCAAACGTCCGGCAGAACTCGTTTGAGGTATGGTCTAAGGGAGAGAACTCATTCGACGACAGGATAATTTGTTGACTAGAGTACCGTCCCTTGTTTGAATAAAATTGAGACGTATTGCGCACGCATGTCCTTTTTGAAATTCTTTCACTGTTCCGACCTTCGTGCAAGAGAGGTAACAATTTGAAATTTTAGTTATCTCCCTTTGACTGGAACACTGCATGAAGCTTTGTACAAGGGCCACAACATTTGATTTCTGTCTGGTTCCCATGAACTCCTTTTGATGTTGCGCACGTATTTAGACGTTTGTTCTCGTTCATTTTTTCTTTACGGCCGATTAGTGCAGCGGCACAAAGAGGTTCGTGCGTGACTTAACACGGCACTTATGTCCGTGGCAGAATCGAACGTGAACGAGACTAAAGGAGTCATTTTCTGTAGACTGGTCACCAGATAGCCCCAGATAATCCCGATTGAACTCTCCACCCAGAGCTCCATGCGACCATGTTATGCTATGTTATAAGTCATCACTGCGCCGGAGTGTGTCCCGCCTGGTGTGGTTGCTATTTCTGTCGCATAAAGAATCTGGAACCAGTCCATCCTTCCCCAACTTCATGTGCCAACTATGTGTAAAGTTTAATGATAGACACGGTCACTCTCCTACCCAGAGTTCCATGCGGCAAGCCGTCGCTGTGCCGGAGTGTGAACGAAATATTGACATGAATTCTTTTGAGTTGTCTCCCTTTGACCACCAACGACAACGTTGATACTATAAGTTCGATTGAGTTATCTCCCTTCAACCACAAACGAAAACGCGACGCTGTTTGATTGAGTTGTCTCCCTTTGACCATAAACACAAATGGGGCAAGGTTGAGTTGTCTCCCTTTGACCACCAACGAAAACTTTGATGCAGAGCGCGGTTGAGTTTTCTCCCATTCATCACATAGAGTGGTCTCCCTTTGACCTCAAGATGAAAGTAACTGACGATTTTAATTCGAAGATGCACCTTTGGCCATCAACCTTATCAGCAATCCGTTCATGTAAAGCTCATTAAGCCAAAAAGAGATGTTGTCAGCATGAAACAGTTTTCCCAAAAGAGGAATTTAAATGGAAACAAAATCATGATCAGGTTTGATGGAATATTCTGTCCGGTTGTGATTATCTGTCGGGAAATATATGGTGTCTCAGAGAAGATTTATATATATGACGAACTTATGTGTACGTGATCAGTCAGTCGGGACATTGGTGGCTCTGTAATATCAAGATGTCAGGTGCCACACTAAAATAGCATGATCATGTCGAAGTACTAATCGAGACTGGTTGATTTCTGGCGTTGACAGTTTATATTATCGATCTATAAGTAATCCATTCATCAGTGCGGAGTTACACTCCAGCAGTTGCTGCGTTTGGTGTTTACATTTCTAAATATTTGATGTACAGTCAAGCATGCTCTTTTTTGGCAATATTTGTAAAAGAGGATCATACGAATCTTGCTTAAATGTGCTTAATCAACTGATCTATTTGATTCCCAAAACGAAATCACAGCAGTACACCTTCTATGGATCACGTGTATCAAGTCAATGCTAACATGACATTCTTGTTTCCACTTATTTGTCAGTTTCTGATATCATTTTTATATATGATCATAATAGTTGAGTCAACACTAAAACATCTTCCTGGGTCCGTTTTGCCAGATTTACAGTGTGACAAAATCAACTAAGAATCCAAGTGGCTGTGTATATTATAGCACATATAATAGGACATAAGAATCATATCACAATAGTTACACAAAAAAGGACACTGTTCTGTGATCATCACAATCTGACTCCAAGGTAAAACCTGCCGAGGTGTTCTTGTGCCCCTTCAGAAGATACTTCGATGTCACTGGTGTCGGTTAATGTCCGGGTCTGATATGTCAGGTCATTCTTTTCATGGCGACCCTGAAGCACCCTGAACTCTGTGACACTTCTGCTGTCAGTAACTCCTTTAGAGCAGGCGTGTACCTCCTCGTTTTGATCTGATAAATATAAACAACAAACGTTTAAAGCAAGCATGTTCTAGAAGCATTGATTATTCAACAGGATTATTACAACTTTATCAGGTAAAGTTATAAGCTGTGGCACAATGTTTTGCCAACTGTAATACAGTAAAAACTGTAAATAGGGAACACGGTTGATGAGCTAAGTTCGTTTTAGGACTGGGGATATTCCTTTCCCCACCTAGAATGGTCATTTATGTTCATATATACTGCTGTATAACTTATTATCCGATAGATTTATTAGAGAAATTAAAAACTCCTCACCGTCACCTGTATCATCTTCGGTTGAGTCAAGACTGAACTCCACGGTATCCAAGCTTGAGGCTGTAGACACTGTCACGGAACAATCAGAAGCTCCCAGACAGTGTAGTCTGTGTATTTCTCTCCTCAGACATGTGTTTTCTTGCTGCTGTCTCTGTGCAACCACCTACGACAAACACGTGTGACTGTATGGGTAGCCTGGCAGTGTCTGCTGCATTGTTCCACTACCGACACATTCAGATAAATAAACAACACTTTTACAAGTACTGTCTACGTTGTCTGGGGAATCTCAGGAATACATGCATTTCCTGGTACACTTTGGCGTTCACTGACCACCTCTTACTGTCGTTTGTTACTTTAAACGAGAGATAACTTTAACATAAAGTGTACATAGAATGCCTAAATAGTCCGTTTTTAATCTTCACAAATATCAAACCCGTGAAGGTCTGGGTTAGAATATTGATCTTCAGTAACCCATGCATGTCATAAGAAGCAACTAACGGGTGGTCAGGCTCGCTGACTTGGTTGACACATGACATCGGTTCCCAATTGCCCAAATGCTCCTGCTGTTGATCACTGGATTGTCTGGTCCCGACTCAATTATTTACAGACCGCCACCTTATAGCTGGAATATTGCTGAGTGCGGCGTAAAACTAAACTCACTCACTCACAAATATCAAGCGTAAATGGAAGCAATGTTATCAGTGACACCAAGCATACGTACTTGTAGCTGTGACAGACTTGTTGTCATCCGTGCTGTCATTTCACGCACTTGCTCCGTCATGTTGCAGATACAGTTTGTTGGACGTCCTTCAATGGCTGTCAGTAAATAACATATTAAGGCATATTATTTTGCTAAAGACTTTGACGTGTACACCTTGGTTACAGTTACTGAAAAACGGGTATTCTTGCAGAGTAATGTGTGACTGATTGAATTACAAGCTTATACAATCATGGAGAATGTTAGACCAACATACAATGAGGTGTTTGTGGAGTGGATGATGGGGATGCCATTGGGGCCTGGTTACTGTTTGAGTTTATCACAAGTTGCATCAGCTGAGAATTTATTTCCTGTGCTGCTTTTATCAGAAAAAGGCTGCTGCTCTCGTTGTCGTCATGGTTACCGCCCATCACAGTGTCAACCTGATAAGTACAAACACCCGGTGTCACACAGCGAAAAATCTTACAAGGTTCGTGAAATTCATTCGGTAGTTCTTTACACATAGCTGCCAACAATTTCACTTGTCCATTACACAACTAAACGACTAAACACGTTTTCATTCCAATTATCCTTAAGCGGTCCATGAAAAGATGAATGGGAATAGTTATTGGGGTCTGTTCCACCTACTTCCAATGTAAGTTCGTCGTCGGTCTTGCACTCATTTGTTTCCTCCAAGAGAGACGTCTTTTGGTCTTTCGCTGGTGCCATGTCTGTTGGAATTAACAAAGCAGTAAATAGTCGAATTCGATATTAAAGGTGAGGTGAGGTGAAATTGGGTTTAACGTCGTGCTTGAGAATATTTCGCTCATATGACGACGTGCATGCGTGTGTATGTGTATGTGCGGCTGCTTGTACTAGCCCAGACTGAAGCTGGTTTTATAGTGCTAGCCCACTGAGATACCATGCCGCAGTGAAGCATGAATACCCCTCTCAGACACATTATACTGACTCCGAGCCGACCAGTCCTTGTTGTACCCATTAATGCCGAGCGCCAGGCAGGGACCAACAAGTACAAATATTTTAACGTCTTTTGGTATGACGCGGTCGGGGATCGAACCACTACACCACGGAGACGGTCGAATTCGATATTAAAGAGGAATGTAGCAATATATGTGTGTGAATAGTGATCGTGTGACTACCGATACTCACTGTCATGTCAAGTGATAGCGAACAAGGCAGTTTACCACAAGTGAATCCAGGATTGGAATAAATATTAGGGCTGCAACGAATACACTACAGGGCGAATACGTTTTACAAATTCAAATATTTGTTCATGAATACTTTATGTTTAATACCAAGTAATTAAATTAACAAACGTAATTCTTTAGGTTGAACATTTCAATCATTTCTGTAAAGCAAAATACAGCTTATAGCTTAATGACACAAATTACGCTACCTCACTGGTTGGATGCATTCCATTTTGCGTGTTAGATAAACAACATACTAGTTCCACGTGAAACGTGATTCTCGATTCAATTCTAGTGACTACCAATAATGAATTCAGTTCATGAAGGGGCACCGTCCCGTTTACAGAATACACGGGTGAATTTATAGCAGGGCTACTGTTATTCGTTTGTTTGTTGTTTTACGCCGCACTCGGCAAAAGTCCAGCTAGAACTTCTGTATATGAAGACCAAATTATCATAAAGAAACACGGAAGGTTATGTTTTTGTTATACCTCCTGTGGTTTCAATGTTATATTTGGTCGCTGGCATTGAATCAATACGGCCAATGGTTTTCTGTTACTGAGAGGCAGTTGATGGTAGGTTGTGGGGAGAAAGACACTTCCCTATGGAGGTGAAGACCTTGCCAACGTCTCCTAACACCAGGATCTGACGTGTGCACTTCATGGTGTGATATCTGCTACTGAGAAGCAGTTGATGATAGGTTGTGGTGAGAGAGACACCTACCTGTGGAGGTGAAGACCTTGCCAACGTCTCCTACAGCAGGATCTGACGTGTGCACTTCATGGTGTGGTACCATGGCTGCTGCCACTGAGCCAATGCGGGACGGAAGTTGTCCTGGAGCTGACATTCCCTTTCTCTCCCTCGCTTTCGTTGCACAGTCACTGATGTCCTTCACCCACCTGGACACAGAATACTTGATGTAGCATTGTCTACAGTAGTTAATCGTCCTTGTGATCACATGGCTGTGTACTGCCCGGCGAGTGGGTACCAATATAAGGCTTCACTAAATATTTAATAACTGTTTCTGTTACATGTTTTGTTATATTTTGGTACAGAATGTGAATTTTTTACAGGGACGCTTGGTAATATATGCATACACTGTATGTTGTGTTGAAAAGATCATTGTTTTAATTGGCAAACAGAAAAAGACCTTTGATTATCAGTGACGATGTCCGGCATATCTCCTGAATGGACAAGGCTGGCATATCGTGGCATATCTAAAAAGACATTATAGCTGTTCCCAGACATCATTCACACGCATCGGTGACAATACAGGCAAAAAAGTGTGCAACATATACTCATGCCAATAATGTTTGTCACCCCCTTCAATTTTTTTTAATTGGAGAGGGGGGGTGGGGTGTGTGTGTGTGTGTGGGGTTGGGGTGGGGAGGGGGTGACAACCATTATTGGCATGAGTATATGTTATATCTGGGATTACACTTTCTTAGTAAAACATAACATATGTTACATTTGACCACTTTCTAAAATGGCATTGTGTAATAAAAAAAAGTCTGCATTTGTGATAATAATGATGCACCAGTACAAACCTATCCCTCTCTGACTGTGTAGGGACAACGAACGTGTACATTGCCGCGCCATCGTCCTCATCATTGATAACAAAGAAGATGGTATTGTCTGAAAGTAAATATTTCTTACGCTGGAAACATGATGATAATATCATTATATCAACTTGCACATAATGAGACTTTCATGTAATAAATAAGAATACAACCAGCATCATGCAAAATACAGTTACAACATATGGTAATGAAAACATATATGGAAGGAGCCAAATATATGAAATACAATTTTTGCTCCTACCAGAAGCATAGCCTCTAGCAAGCACGTTCTCCAGCTTCAGGATTGGGCGGTACTTTCCCTTAGTGCCTGTTGCTAATATTTTTGTGAATGGACAGAGAGCCATCGTGTCGTCTTGGGTTTGCAGCAGTAACATCACGTCCTCCAGCAGCACAACGAGCATCTCCACACTGCACATAGGCTGCAACTTCATCGACAGAACTCCGTCCAATACAAGTTTGTGCTGATTGACATCCAACTCCTGAAACAATTAAACTAATGTCAGGCTGATTGTTATTATAGCCCTTGTTGTATTTCGTTATTCTATGCCCTTTTCCCAAATGATATGCAAAGTGTGTAGAACGGGATGCTATTGGTGAATACCATGACTGTGAATATAATGAAGTACTAGAATATTGTGACCACGATGACAATGCTTTAAAATATATTAATTCTGCTATTTAATGATTAAGCAAAGTTGCAATGTTGTAATTTCACAAGGATTATTATATCAATAATATTTGAAGGATATATAACCGAATCTTCAGAATATAATACGAAGGTTGGCCAGAAGTATAAAAAAGGCATGTTTTAAAAAGTCCGCTCTGTCAAAAAGGCTTTCTGTTGGGGGTGATTACGTTTTTCAACTGTAATTTGGCATTATATTGTAATAGTTTGGCGTAGTTTCTGTTCCTGGGGTAAATTAGTGTATCTTTACCTTTAAAGAACATAATGCATTTTCCTTGCGCTTGCAGTATGTGATATGTCAACACGCTTATAGAACAGATACACTGCAGCATAAACTCGTGTGTTGTTCAAATAGCGCAACGCCATTAACAGGCTCAGATAAGGCGTAACGGCCATGAGCTCGAAAACAGCATCCAAAGAATCGGTCAGATAAAGCGGAATAATTTCAAGGTGTGAAGACATCTACATGCAAGTGAGAAATTAACCTATGTTGCAGTAATATATGGAAACCATTCATTGTACATAACTGCACTCGATGAATGAAAGTTGTTGTTAATATGTGTAACCAAAGTTTAGGATTACTGTTGATCGTTTTACACGTTTTGTTTGGTTAATAATACGAGAAAATCTTGCCTTAAGTTCCTCGTATGCCGGGTGGTGCGTGTTGATCTGCCTCTGTATACACGACAGCCGGTAATCATTCTCACAGGTGTGCACGGCCTGGTCCACGTATGCTAATACTTCCTTGCTTTTCAAGTGGACTTTTTCAAGAAGACGTTTCTCGCATGCATCTGTCAAAAACAAACCCCGACAAAATATGGTAAACTATGAAATTCCATATTTTGTGCAATGACCTCTCAAGTTTGTCATCTAGTGTTTATCCCCGTGCAATCTTTGCGTGAATGTATTCATTACAAGGTATTAGATCATCTGTTGTGTACCTCTTGTGCAATCTTTGAGTGAATGTATCAGTAGAGGGTATTTGGTTAACCGCTGAAACTCTACTGCCAAGAATTCTTCCAGTTTCCGGTGCTGACAAAGCGTGTAGCTTTCTGCCTCCTGTAATAGAAAGTACTAGACTTGTGATGTTTGGGTTTCGGCTTTTCAGGTGCAACGTTTTATGCACAATTATACATTGTTAACCTCATTAGTGTATTGACATCCTCGGTGTTTTTTCAACACGTAAGCAACTTACTTAAAGTTTGCATTGATGCTATAATTAGGTTGTGCACTGTCATTTATTCAAGTATGCGTTATTATATCTGACCAAATACGTATGTGATTAACATCTTTTGAGATATAGACCATTATTACATTTTCTCACTAGTAAAAACTTTGATGGAGCATGTTGTGTCCTGAGTTCCTTCAAAATGTCTTTAATTTGAAACTGGTTCCTGCAGTACTTGGCGCATTCTTGTCGGAATTTCTGTCCATTTTCACCATCAAACTGCAATGCATATTCATTCCAAGGTATTATATAGACTATGTGGTAACAATTCGAGTCATAGCAGTGTTTGCAACAATTATGTGATGATTGTTTCATGTTGGACAGGTGTTTAACATGTCTATAACACGTCCGCTGCGTCCTCTTATACATTGTTCATACAGACAACTTTAATCAAAAGTCGCATCGAAAGCTCAGTGGATGGCAATGTATGGTCTTGACGGATTTATTTATCTTTCAGCAAATATATCAAATTGATCCAAATGTCATATTGTTTTAACAGTTTGTCGAAATCCTAATAATAGCGTTTAAGGAGATAAATATTTCCTTCGGAATTTGGTTTCCTTGATAAAATACTTGAACTAGCGACACAGGATGGCAAGTTGCCTAGGTGACATGTCGATTTAGACTGATACAGTCTCTTATCTCACCATCCACAAGAAAATGTCCGCTATCCTGCGTATGACGGGTGTTTCAAGTCGGCGCCTCTGCAGTTTCATGTTGAGCTGACCTGAAGAATCAAGAGGAATATCTTACACCAACAACATGACAATAGGTTAACGATTGTTGTCATTGTCAGAGAGAGAATGCTGCATTTTTCTAAGTGATGACCTTGTTAGGTGTCCATTTTTCAAACTGCCACGACCAGGTTTATTTGTATCCCCACCTATTTCACATACCTTTCCTACAGTCAAGAACATCGGTAAAACATTCAGGCAAATCTGGATATTGACGCTGCCATCTATCATTCCCAGTTTTCGTCATTTAGTCTGTTTATTTCTATACTCTCTCGGAGAAGAATGAGGTCATCAACATTTATACTAGGCAATACAAGCAGATAGGGTGGAATAAGTCCAAGGGGGTCGAGAACACACTATAATTCACTAACAGGACACTATAACGTGACGACGGTCAGTGTGGTGGTGTCGTTTGCTGTAGCTGTATACTGATTCAGAATAGTCTCACAAAGAGGTGAGGTGAAATTGGGTTTAACGTCGTACTTGAGAATATTTCGCTCATATGACGACGTGCATGCGTGTGTATGTGTATGTGCGGCTGCTTGTACTAGCCCAGACTGAAGCTGGTTTAATAGTGCTAGCCCACTGAGATACCATGCCGCAGTGAAGCATGAATACCCCACTCAGACACATTATACTGACTCCGAGCCGACCCATTAATGCCGAGCGCCAGGCAGGGTCCAACAAGTACCATATTTTAACGTCTTTTGGTATGACGCGGTCGGGGATCGAACCCGCGACCTTCCGCTCTCCGGGCGGACGCTCTAACCACTACACCACGGAGGCGGTCAAAGTCTCACAAAGAAGCCCAAGCAACACATATACAAGTTAGTTTCGATACGGATGTAGGTGTTAAACACTCACTGTGTAAATGTATCACCTCGTCAAGATTAGGAAACAAGGTCCGTGTCAGTCGAATAGGACAGATACGTTTAGCCACCATGGGTTGGTGAAACAGTAAGTCTAATATCATGAGTTGTCGGACATGAGACCTTTCTGTGTGCAACAGCTCTGTAAGAGATAAATATATGTCAACCAATGTGCACAGCATAAATGTTATTATATACAACATATGGACGTAAATCTTTGCTTCTGATTTCAAGGTTTACGTAAAGGTAGTATGGTTCGAATACCCGAATCACTACTATTTCATTCCACACTAAGCTGACACTCACTCACTCACTCACTCACCCACCCACTCACTCACTCACTCACTGAAACCCACCCACTCACTCACTCAACCACCCACCCACCGACACACTCACTCACTGAAACCCACCCACTCACTCACTCACTCGACCCACTCACTCACCCACCGACCCACTCACTCACTCACCCACTCACACAGTGAGTACCCACTCACTCACTCCGGAAAGATTATTTCTTCAACACTGACTTACAATTTGTATTGTTTTACAGATATGCAATTCAACCGAGTTCTACCATTCAACACTAGCTGGCGTTTCATCTCCTTTGCTGTGAGTGCCGTGATGGTGTCTCCAAGAACGTCTTCCAGTCTCGGTAGGTCCGGCCCAAATGTCGGGTCTGGGTCGGCTGGATTGTCTTTGAGGTCGACGAACCTTTAATACATTGAAAATGTCATACCAAATACATTACATTTCATTTGTCGCACAGAGTAAAAACAAGTGTGAATGGATCGCTGAAAATCAGTGGTATAACGTAGCACTTGCTGAACGTTTTGTCTGTAATTTGTTCACTGAACCCATCCGATCTGTCAGTTGCTAAAGGGTTAAATCTATGGAAAAGGCAATTTAATCATAGAGTATCACTACAGTCATGCTATCATCGCGTAAGCACACTCCCGTCTCCCACGCAACCCATGTTTTGTGTGCAGCCAGCAGATAGAGTACATGTTATGATGTGGGTTAGAAGTGTGATTCCATTCATGAAGAATCGTCTTCCTTTCGTTGAATGTTTGTAATTATATCACTTCAGGAGGTGCTGGAAGTGTGAATTGTTTTACTGAATCGTATACTATCGTGAGACACTGTTGGTTGCATTTCGTTTGTATAGGTCAGAGATGTTTCAACTACCATGTAAGTCATTCAAATGGACTGATTGTTTATCAATGTGGAGTGATTCATGTATGTTCGTGATACATATTTGAATGTTTGATATCCGTTAGTTCGGTACATGAAAGACACAGAGGCTTTGTGAAACAGGAAGTAATTGTTCTGAGAGGCAACAGAAAGTATACAAAGATATGTTTATTTATTACAGTTGAAAAACTGCTCGATTATGCCATATATAAACATAACTCATATCTGCAAATGTTTGTAAAACCATACTGTGAATCTCTGCAAGTTTGTGCAATAGTCTGAGTCGACCGCTGGGGTAGGAAATGAACACATGATCCCTACCGTGTTGTAAATGTAACTCTACGCCGAGAGGATTTCCATTATATACGGACTGTGGTATGTTCTGCGATTACAAACTTTCAAAAGTGCCGAATAAATGTATATTTTAAATAAGAGTGAACCATTGAACAGTATTCTTTGAGTACTGACTTAGTTTTTATATATATATATCGCTAACTCAAGAAGAGTCAGCAAACATAAAACCAACTTGGTGATATGATTTCTTGTGCTCCTCGGTTTGTTTAAATCATGTTCAGCATTTTAATTTGATTGTGCGAAATACGGCACCAAAGATTACAGGAACACAAGTGTCTTCAATGCTGGTGTGTTTCGACGACCCTCACTATATTTCACATGGAACTGACATGAAACAGAGCATCGTTGTCTTTGTTGTTGGAGTTGTGGATATATCCATGGCACATGCTTCGTTGAGAGTCCAGATTTGAAGGTCATAGTGTTCACGCCTGTCCATCAACGCCTTCACTGAATATACTGCGCGAGGAAAACAATGCGTTTCGGAATTAATCTGTAAAACGCACACACAGCAACACCGCTTTAAGAGGCATGGAAGGACACGGTTAGGTATGGCGCAGTTGCTTATGCGCGATGACCACGATGTTGCACTTGTTGATGTCTAGGAGAGAATGCATTCCTCGAAATTAGAACTAAAGTACTGTCGGAAATAGAAAAAAACTGTTTTTTTTCGCATTTACATCTACAGTTTAAGTCGTAAACATGTGAAAGTATGAACTATCTGTTAAACTAAGTTCGGCCTAACTACAGTCACAGTGGTGGGGAGATAGGAAATGTAGAAAGATGACTTTACTGAGGAGAGATTAGTGCAGAAATGAGCAATGCGAGCTTTTTCTAAGTCCAAGCGACTTATTTGGAACAGCATATGGCTTTATGTAAATTAGTGTGCAATGATATTGTATTACAAAGGACACTATTTAAATTCGCATTTTGAAATTAAACTTAGCTTCATCATAAATGATAGCTGTCGTACAAAATAATAACTTTAATACTGAAACTATTAAGGATGTAGCTACCACGGAGTCTCACTATCACTATAAAAAAACAGGTAAGAGGGGTCGTCTCAAAAGCAAAGCCAGGACGGGTGTCGCAGACGGTGGTTGGGGTCGGGCTGGAGGATAGAGATAAGATAATCTGTTAGGGGAATTAAACTGTGGAAGAAAACGACATGTCATAATAATTTGCAAATAATATCCAGTCCTGTCCATCTTCGGGTGGTCATGCCACCTATATATTTTGAGACATTTAATTCGATGGCTGATTTAATCTTTTCTAGACCCGTGAAGATCCGGGGGAGAATAGGTCTTCAGCGACCCATGCTTGCCACAAAAGGCAACTATGCTTGTCGTAAGAGGCCACTAACGGGATCGGGTGATCAGGCTCGCTGACTTGGTTGACGCATGTCATCGGTTCCCGATTGCGCAGATCGATGCTCATGCTGTTGATCACTGGCTTGTCTGGTCCAGACTCGATTATTTACAGACCGCCGCCATATAGCTGGGATATTGCTGAGTGCGGCGTAAAACTAAACTCTCTCACTCACTTTTCTAGGGCATGGATATCATCCTCTTTTACATATCTCAACATGAACTTTATGAAAGCAAGACACGTAAGATGTTAATCAATAGACATGTTCAACACACATGAAAAAGCATAAAATATCATTGAGATGACCTCCTTGTGCCTGTATTCAGCATATGCATTTCATGCGAGGTGAGTCGACGGTCTGTCGTCATACCTGGCTGAGCGACCTAATTGCCATCTATAGTCTGATCTATTGTTTTCCCCGATTTTACGAGGAAACATGCTTTCCTGGATATCCTATTACGCATCTCACTGAACGCCCAGTTAGGCCGATGTGGGTTATTTTGACATATGCTATTTGCAATTGTGTAAATTTTAGGGATACAGAGTAACAGCCTAAAAACAGTTTTGTTCTATTTCTGACAGTACTTTAACAATGGTTATCGATATGCAATGACCATGATAGACTTACCATTTGGTGGATGCTGATTTGCTGCGTGAATGTTTGCGAGATTTGCTGAATGGACCGCGGTCCATGACAAGGCTTGTCACTGTAACACTTACTTGCCCATTTTCGTTCTGAAACAAAGTATAGTTGTTGCAAGATCCGGTATAATCAATTACTGAGTACAACGTCATCACATATATTGGGTCTGTAGGACTAGCACTACTCATACCCATCTGGGAGTCATACCTGGTGCACCAGTCTGATCAAATACTGGTGCACCTGGAAGACTGTTCTGTGTATTGGGTGATCCATGTGTGTACGGAAACAAGGCAAAACAATTACGTCTTCAGGCGTGAAGTACGCTTTCATAAACTTAGTACGGAGGAACACAATAGAACTAGCATGTCGATAATAATTCTGTTAATGTCATACTATTATTTTGTTTGAGTGACTGAATGAGTGAGTGAGTTGTTTTTTTCGCCGCTTTTAGCAATATTCCAGCAATATCACGGCGGGGGGACACCAGAAATGGGCTTCACACATTGTACCCATGTGGGAAATCGAACCAGGGTCTTTCGGACCGCCCCTTTGTCAAAGGATTCTCAGAACACGGCAGTGATAATAAAACCACATCGTTATTGTGGATTGTCGATTGTCGATTGTGATACATGCAACTCTTGTGTTGAGTGCAAACCCATCCAGAATGAAGGGCATTATTCCACAATACAATACGTTTTGCAGTTTATTTTAAAATCACTATAAATAACACCAATATGAGAAAGGACTGAGATTTCAGAACGAACTATTTGTTAAGTTCACTGGAATTTGTACCTTATCAGAGTTTAGCCTAACCATTACGTCAAACCAAGAATAGCGACAACAAGCAATATTTGACACTCTCTCATGGACATTCATACGCTACAAAGACCCCTGCTGTTTTGTCAGTAGTGTAGAATAGCGACAGTGAATAACTCAATGAACGCTAAGAGCTACGACGTCATTGATATCCACAATATTGTTGGTTAATATTGTGACACTGTAGACTGTTGGTGTTGAGGTTATGTCCCTCAACAAAGGTGATATCTGGGTCAGCATGACGGGTGAAGTGTACGTAGTAATGACACACAGGAAACTGAAAACAAGCCCTTGTCCTAAAGAAAAGAATACACACGGAATATAAAAGTTCGTGCTTGTCCTTCAGAAATGACACAGGGGTTTGAAAGCTCGTGCTTGTCCTTCAGAAATAACGCAGGGCTTTGAAACGAAAATGGATAGTACAACTTTAACTGTTTTCCAGCAGTATTTATACTTTCATGCCAATGTCATGTTAAAGGAAGCCATGTTTGGGAACGAAGAGCACGACTGTGGTACGGACAAAAATGGACCACAATTAAGCTAATCTTGGGGAAAAGTAAGCAAAGTGTCCCGTGAGAGATGGGACATAACTCTACATAGCACAATGTACGAACCGTATCCTTCCATTGTGAAACTATTACGTATTGTTCCCACTGGAATAACCCTTCACCGTCGGTCTCAGTATTACTCAACTGGACCGAAAATTACTTTTGTAACGTAAATGTAATAAGAGTACTTACCTTTTGTGCCTTTAGAGCAATCCTTCATGTGAATAACCAGTCTGATTTAGTGGATTTACCCATCGTTCGGCGTTAAACTCTCCGCAGTATGTTTGAGATACATAACGAACATGACGTAACGAGACCAGGTACAAGTATGTTACAATCATATATCCCATGCTCCAAAAACCGTTTGGATTGTAAACAGTCATGTATGGACTCAAGCGGGGGACATGTGAACAAGTCCATTGGACTATAGCACGTTCAGTGTGTCTATTCTAAAGCATTCACAACGTAGCTTTTATGCTGCGCGGCATGGCATACTTAGCTGTGTATGTTGTCCCCACACCTACATATAAAGCCATTATACATGTGGCGATAAAGGCAGAACAGAAATATTGAATGGAAAACCGCTCTTTGTAGGCCCATTTAGGAAGTGCTCTCGGGTTATGATATCGTGTCGTGGGAAAGATCACTGGGAGTTATCATATGCGCCAGGGAAGGTGTTCTTTACATAATACTGTAGATGTACTGTATTCGCTGTTTGGTCGACATTCTAGGAGTTGGTGAGTCAAAACTGAAATATACAACTTTATGGATGAAAACTTCATGTTTATAGCAATGGGCGACCACTCGATGTATATACTTACATCGTTATCAAGTAAAATCTACATCGACTCGTCGCTCTGTGCAATAAACAAGAAGTTGCCATTCACAAAGTTGTATGTTTCAAAACTGATTCGTGAAAATCTTTTACTGTTTGTTATGATAACCTACTTGTGGGAAAGGTGTTATGATAACCTACTTGTGGGAAAGGTGTTATGATAACCTAGTTGTGGGAAAGGTGTTATGATAACCTACTTGTGGGAAAGGTGTTATGATAACCTACTTGTGGGAAAGGTGATAGGACATGAGCTAGGAAAATATACTCATGGAGACAAGTAAGGGAACACATGAAAGTACAAGTGTTCCGTTATTTGTTTCCAAAATTTCACCCCAGTGCAATACAAAGCTTGTGAAGAAACCTGGAAAAGAATAAAGGAACACTTGTACTTTCAGGTGTTCCCTTACTCGTCTCCTTGAGTATATGATATGTCCTACTGGTGACATCAAGTCGGGGAGTGACCGCCAGGTGTTAAGAGTATATGATATGTCCTACTGGTGACATCAAGTCGGGGAGTGACCGCCAGGTGTTAAGAGTATATGATATGTCCTACTGGTGACATCAAGTCGGGGAATGACCGCCAGGTGTTAAGAGTATATGATATGTCCTACTGGTGACATCAAGTCGGGGAGTGACCGCCAGGTGTTAAGAGTATATGATATGTCCTACTGGTGACATCAAGTCGGGGAGTGACCGCCAGGTGTTAAGAGTATATGATATGTCCTACTGGTGACATCAAGTCGGGGAGTGACCGCCAGGTGTTAAGAGTATATGATATGTCCTACTGGTGACATCAAGTCGGGGAGTGACCGCCAGGTGTTAAGAGTATATGATATGTCCTACTGGTGACATCAAGTCGGGGAGTGACCGCCAGGTGTTAAGAGTATATGATATGTCCTACTGGTGACATCAAGTCGGGGAGTGACCGCCAGGTGTTAAGAGTATATGATATGTCCTACTGGTGACATCAAGTCGGGGAGTGACCGCCAGGTGTTAAGAGTATATGATATGTCCTACTGGTGACATCAAGTCGGGAGTGACCGCCAGGTGTTAAGAGTATATGATATGTCCTACTGGTGACATCAAGTCGGGGAGTGACCGCCAGGTGTTAAGAGTATATGATATGTCCTACTGGTGACATCAAGTCGGGGAGTGACCGCCAGGTGTTAAGAGTATATGATATGTCCTACTGGTGACATCAAGTCGGGGAGTGACCGCCAGGTGTTAAGAGTATATGATATGTCCTACTGGTGACATCAAGTCGGGGAATGACCGCCAGGTGTTAAGAGTATATGATATGTCCTACTGGTGACATCAAGTCGGGGAATGACCGCCAGGTGTTAAGAGTATATGATATGTCCTACTGGTGACATCAAGTCGGGGAGTGACCGCCAGGTGTTAAGAGTATATGATATGTCCTACTGGTGACATCAAGTCGGGGAATGACCGCCAGGTGTTAATTGATCTGGCAAAGATGTTCAATTGATAATATCGAGTCTTGCGAAAGATAATGTTCTGTTAAGATATGATTTATGCGATATGTACAACTGATAATATCGAGTTTTGGGAAACATAGGCGGGTGTTATTACATGTTCCAGGAACGATGTTCAGTCATAAATAATGAGTTGGCGGATTTATTTGCAGGTTTTTTAATATAATTACGAAATATGTTCTTTGGTCTCTCGATTTGTATGCCCCGGCAAACATGTTAAGTTGATGATATTCCGTCGTGGGAAAGATCTTTATATGTAGGAAGATCGATAATATGGAGTCGCAAGAAAGATCTGGAGATGACACGGTAGGGGCAAGAAAAATTTCTAAATCATTGTATGTACAAAGAACATATCTCACGATTGAATGAGCCCCGATCTTAACTCTTTGAAGCATATGTGAGACATGACTGTGTGCAACAAAGGGATCCTCCTGTACAGAACCTGGCCCAATTGGAAGCTGTTTTACACGAGGAATGGCGTAGACTGACCCTTCAGAGGATTAGGAGGCTGACAGGGGGTATGAGGAGGAGAGTGCTTGCTGTCATACAGTCGCATGGAGGTTACACTCAGTATTGACCTTGAATCGTGTAAGACATGCAAAATGACATTCACCAATAAATTCAACATTCAACATTCCAGGGCAATACTTGTTCAGACATGGTTTTGTGTGAAAATCAGCGCTTTTTATTAAATGACCAATTATCATCATAAAATCAACATGGATTCCAATCATTTCGTCGTTTTGTATGAGTGAAAGGATCATAGGGGTCTGAAAAGCTCATGTTTTTTCATCGTGGTCACCACGAGAATTTTTTGTATGTGTTGCAAAAATACACTGAGTGCTAAATTAAGTTCTTTGTGTATATTTAGGTGAGGAAAATATGACCTAAAGACTGTGTTATAATCAATGTAAGTTAAGGTATGGTGCCGGAAAGATCTCCAAATGATCGTATTAAGTTGAGGAAAATATGAGTAGACCTGTGGTGAATTACGGCCAGACTGTGATGTACAGCAACACTCACGCCCCCTCGTTACATCTTGTGGTGTACAATGTCTACAGATGGACAACACCAGGATCATAGAGAAAAGGATTTTAATGACAATTCTTCATTAAAGACTTTCACCAGACAACATGTAACCACATAAACGTGTTTCTGGGAAGGTAATATAGTATGCTGGACTACCAAATTGCCAGAGCCTAGCCTCCGTTTCATTTTCGAGGGGAGACCGAGGCAATGAAGGGCCTAGGCCTTTACCATGCTGTGATGTGGACAAGCCAGGTATTATATCCTGGAAGCCGATCAAAGGGTCCTGACTTACATCTGGGGTGCTCCTCTGCAAAATGAAGTTCGGAGCCGCCGACACTATCATGTTTTATAACAGAGGTACGACACCAAGGAAAAGGGTAAAAAATATCAAACAATTAAACAATTCCCAACAGACAATAGTGATTATATTCTGTTTGGTGGCATAAAAAAATTCCAACCATGCTTGCAGTAAACAGTAAACAATAGTGTGAAAAGGACAACATATTAGAGTTTGAAATAAAAGGACAGAATTCATTGTTTATTTCGTGCAGCGTACAGGTGCACTTGGTAAATAATAGTGATAATTTGCCGAAATGAAAGGTACAATAGTGTCTACAGGCAAGTATAACAGAAAAGTGTATAGTCCATGATCTCTTTCCTCACAGTGAGCATTCCATCAACCTTTCTGGAACGTGTTATCGATGTAATATGTTCGGTATTTTAGTTGTTCATAAAAAGTGGTCATAAAACTTGAAATATTTCAAACTAGAGAAACAAACAAATGACATCAGTGTAACAATTGCGGGAACAAACGCCTGTCAGATCATCACAATCGGAAGTCCGGGTAAAACCGTGTGAGATCCCCCGACGTCTCGTCTGAAGACGCCTTGGTGTCATTGTTCTCACTGTTGGGTATCGTCTTGGTTTGTTCCTCGACCACCAGGTCTTCAGCATATACACCTCCTGGCAACACAACACCTTCCAGTGTCTGGACGGAGTCTGTGTCTGTGTCTCCAAGGTCCTCTAGACTGATGGCATATGTGGAGCTACTGGGCATGGAACAGGAACTCTCCATCGTTAAATCGCCAAGAGAATCAGTTGTTGAAACAACCTCTATGTTCGAGTTTACAGCACTGTCTTCCGTGTAGGTATCGTCAGGTCTGGGCAAACTCAACCCTTCACTGCGCGGAGTCATGTCATTAGATTCTTGCACAGGGTTGTCATGAAGGTCAGTTTCATTTTGAGTCTTGGTTCCGACGTTTTCCTGCTCCACTTGGCTAATCTGTTCCTGTTCTCGTTCCTGCTCTTCCTCGCTGTCTCCATCTGGTGCTTCTGAAACCACAAACATAAGTTTCACGCAGAGGCTGTGCGTATCTGTATATACACTGATGTGTGGCAGCTTCTGTAGACATTGCAGAGCAATGCGGTATTTGTAATACATTGTTTCTGTTAAGATTCAGTAGGGGGCAGTGGCAGTATTATAATAAGAATGGGGGACAGGTGCGAACTATCTTGACGCGCTATGTCTGATGTAGATAGAGCGGGGGTTCTGGACAAAATAACTCTCAAGGAATAATTAAAAGACAAGTCTAAACGCAAATGAAATCTGTAGTTTATTCATAGACGCAAACATGACCAAAATAGTCTTTTTGTAGTGCTGATAGTTATGGTAGTACGACGTTAACAAATGGGGTCACTTTCAAGACTTGGCATACATTCCTCAGGAAACCACATAAGCATCAATAACTGAGCACAATGTCAACATTGGGTGTAATCAGTGTTTAGAGGATGGTCATGGATATGTGGTACAACAAGCCTGTCTAGGAGGTCAGTCATGTGCCGTTGTCCATTCAGATTTTATCTGATCGTCACGAGGTCAAGTTTAAAGTCATGTGAGAGGCACCCCCACACCATGACTGAACCCCCGCCAAACGGTACCTGCTCCAAGATATTCCAAAGGGCATATGCAGTATTTCTGCGGCGCCAAACACGAGCTAGGCCATCAGTCATGAACAAAAGATATCAGTGGACCCTCCCCATCACCTCAAAAAGCTAGTCCGTCTGCTGTGCGCTCTGTGGATAACAACGGACGTCTAATAGATCGTCTGGCGCTATACACGGCCGAGTCTAGGTGATTTCGGGCCGTTTTGTTGGAAGAGCGATGTGATGCCACTCTGTTGTCACTCACTGTCAATTACTGGACATACACAGATGAAGTCTTGAGATTTTGAGAATGGCTGTTTCAACCCTTGGGGTGGTCACTCGTGGTCGACCTGAACACTGATGATCCTTAACGTCATTAGTTTGCTAATGTTCTCTGGCCAACAGGTCTATAGTCAGTGGACGCCAACCAACATCTCTTGCAGTAGCCTTTAGTGACATGCCACCATTCCGCATACCAATATCTTGCCATGTTTGAGCGGTTGTCAACTGACGAGGTTCCATATTTACTTCATCAACAACGAAATCATTTTGACCTTCAAGATTATCGAACTGTAAGAACACTGATATTTGCTTAATGACGGGCATAACGATGTATATCTAACATCAACGTATGGGGCGAGTATCATCAAAATAATGATACAAGTATTATCAACACTGTCTCTACTGCTATGATCACTGCTTTCATATTATACTTCTTTATGGTTTGTGCTGCGATTCTTTTTTGCACTACCATTATAATTCCTTTGTAGCTGTTTGTGGTAATTCGTGAGTTGATTTTAGAATACAATTGTTTATTGTATTTCTTTGTTGCTTGTTGGTTTTCATCATCGATGCTGATCGTACATCAATACTTTAGCTATTTCTAGGTGAGATCAACAATGGTAAATAACACGTGAAATACTTTCCACACGTGTCTTGTGTTGATGCTACCGATGTGATGCTACCTTGATGATGCACCGATGAATACAGCCACTCCCCGGATTTACATTTTACAGGCACCATGCATCGAAACAGTAATTGGTAACTGTCAAAGATGATGCTCACCATCTACAGGAGGTTGCTGTGTTGCATCTCTGTCGGCGGTGTCCACGTCGACCTCCGGGGATACGTCCTGTGTAGGTTGTGTCGAGTTACTGACGCTTTCCAGTTCCACATTCGTCTCACTTAACTGCCGTATTAGTCGCTTCTTCTCGTAGCTTTGATTTTGGAGAACGACCTGTATCAACACAATGTATATATCTGAGTCACCTGTATCAACACAATGTATATATCTGAGTCAGCTATATCAACACAATCTATATATCTGAGTCACCTATATCAACACAATGTATATATCTGAGTCACCTATATCAACACAATGTATATATCTGAGTCACCTGTATCAACACAATGTATATATCTGAGTCACCTGTATCAACACAATGTATATATCTGAGTCACCTGTATCAACACAATGTATATATCTGAGTCACCTATATCAACACAATGTATATATCTGAGTCACCTATATCAGCACAATGTATATATCTGAGTCACCTGTATCAACACAATGTATATATCCGAGTCACCTATATCAACACAATGTATATATCTGAGTCACCTATATCAGCACAATGTATATATCTGAGTCACCTATATCAGCACAATGTATATATCTGAGTCACCTATATCAACACAATGTATATATCTGAGTCACCTGTATCAACACTATGTATATATCTGAGTCCCCTATATCAGCAGAATGTATATATCTGAGTCACCTATATCAACACAATGTATATATCTGAGTCACCTGTATCAGCACAATGTATATATCTGTGTCACCTATATCAACACAATGTATATATCTGAGTCACCTATATCAACACAATGTATATATCTGAGTCACCTATATCAACACTATGTATATATCTGAGTCACCTATATCAACACAATGTATATATCTGAGTCACCTATATCAGCACAATGTATATATCTGAGTCACCTATATCAACACAATGTATATATCTGAGTCACCTATATCAACACAATGTATATATCTGAGTCACCTGTATCAACACAATGTATATATCTGAGTTACCTGTATCAACACAATGTATATATCTGAGTCACCTGTATCAACACAATGTATATATCTGAGTCACCTGTATCAACACAATGTATATATCTGAGTCACCTGTATCAACACAATGTATATATCTGAGTCACCTGTATCAACACAATGTATATATCTGAGTCACCTATATCAGCAGAATGTATATATCTGAGTCACCTGTATCAACACAGTGCATATATCTGAGTCACCTGTATCAACACAATGTATATATCTGAGTCACCTATATCAACACAGTGTATATATCTGAGTCACCTGTATCAGCACAATGTATATATCTGAGTCACCTATATCAGCACAATGTATATATCTGAGTCACCTGTATCAACACAATGTATATATCTGGGTCACCTATATCAAGACAATGTATATATCTGAATCACCTATATCAACACAATGTATATATCTGAGTCACCTATATCAACACAATGTATATATCTGAGTCACCTATATCAACACAATGTATATATCTGAGTCACCTGTATCAACACTATGTATATATCTGAGTCACCTATATCAGCAGAATGTATATATCTGAGTCACCTATATCAACACAATGTATATATCTGAGTCACCTGTATCAGCACAATGTATATATCTGTGTCACCTGTATCAACACAATGTATATATCTAAGTCACCTATATCAACACAATGTATATATCTGAGTCACCTGTATCAACACTATGTATATATCTGAGTCACCTATATCAACACAATGTATATATCTGAGTCACCTATATCAGCACAATGTATATATCTGAGTCACCTATATCAACACAATGTATATATCTGAGTCACCTATATCAACACAATGTATATATCAGAGTCACCTGTATCAACACAATGTATATATCTGAGTTACCTGTATCAACACAATGTATATATCTGAGTCACCTGTATCAACACAATGTATATATCTGAGTGACCTGTATCAACACAATGTATATATCTGAGTCACCTGTATCAACACAATGTATATATCTGAGTCACCTATATCAGCAGAATGTATACATCTGAGTCACCTGTATCAACACAGTGTATATATCTGAGTCACCTGTATCAACACAATGTATATATCTGAGTCACCTATATCAACACAGTGTATATATCTGAGTCACCTATATCGAGACAATGTATATATCTGAGTCACCTGTATCAACACAATGTATATATCTGAGTCACCTATATCAACACAGTGTATATATCTGAGTCACCTATATCGAGACAATGTATATATCTGAGTCACCTATATCAACACAATGTATATATCTGAGTCACCTATATCGAGACAATGTATATATCTGAGTCACCTATATCAACACAATGTATATATCTGAGTCACCTATATCAACACAATGTATATATCTGAGTCACCTGTATCAACACAATGTATATATCTGAGTCACCTATATCAACACAATGTATATATCTGAGTCACCTATATCAACACAATGTATATATCTGAGTCACCTATATCAACACAATGTATATATCTGAGTCACCTGTATCAACACAGTTTATATATCTGAGTCACCTGTACCGCCATACAGAACACAGTGTCAGGCAGGAAGTATGTCGGCAGTATTAGGGAGAGTGTGATGAATGAGGAAGACACAGCGTGTGTTGTGGAGACTGTGATCGGGACATGAGGTGCGGACATTGGTGGTCGGGCTACAGAGAGTGAGAGAGAATGTGTAACGAGTGGTAAGAACGATTAGTGAGGGTAGTCCGGAGATTGAGCTTAGGGATAGAATGAGTGTGAGAATGTGTGAGAACAGCCTGACCTGGTTAAACATACAGGATACGTACCTGCAAGTTGTTGATACACTGATTCATCTTTGACGTCACTTCCAGTAGTTGTTTTAGGGGAATAGGGAGAGTAACCTTCTGCTGTCCGGTGCTCGTGGACAGTGCTGTAACACAGGGCAACGTTTTAATAACACACCACGCACATACAACATAACACTGTCACACCACGCACACACAATATAACACTGTCACAACACACCACGCACATACAACATAACACTGTCACAACACACCACGCACATACAGCATAACACTGTCACAACACACCACGCACATACAACATAACACTGTCACAACACACCACGCACATACAACACAACACTGTCAACACACACACAACATAACACTGTCACAACACACCACGCACATAACACTGTCACAACACACCACGCACATACAACATAACACTGTCACAACACACCACGCACATACAACATAACACTGTCACAACACACCACGCACATACAACATAACACTGTCACAACACACCACGCACATACAACATAACACTGTCACAACACACCACGCACACACAACATAACACTGTCACAACACACCACGCACATACAACATAACACTGTCACAACACACCACGCACATACAACATAACACTGTCACAACACACCACGCACATACAACATAACACTGTCACAACACACCACGCACATACAACATAACACTGTCACAACACACCACGCACATACAACATAACACTGTCACAACACACCACGCATACAACATAACACTGTAACACTGTCACAACACACCACACCACACTGTCACAACATACAACATAACACTGTCACAACACACCACGCACATACAACATAACACTGTCACAACACACCACGCACATACAACATAACACTGTCACAACACACCACGCACATACAACATAACACTGTCACAACACACCAACACAACACGCCCACACAATATAACACCGTCACAACACACCACGCACACACAATATAACACTGTCACACCACGCAGACGAAACATACCACTGTTACACCACGCAACACAACATAATCCTGTCACAAGACACCACGCACATACAACATAACACTGTCACAACACACCACGCAACACAACATAATCCTATCACAAGACATCACGCACATACAACATAACACTGTCACAACACACCACGCACATACAACATAACACTGTCACAACACACCACGCAACACAACATAATCCTGTCACAAGACATCACGCACATACAACATAACACTGTCACAACACACCACGCACATACAACATAACACTGTCACAACACACCACGCACATACAACATAACACTGTCACAACACACCACGCACATACAACATAACACTGTCACAACACACAACACACATACAACATAACACTGTCACAACACACCACGCACATACAGGATAACACTGTCACAACACACCACGCAACACATACAACATAACACTGTCACAACACACCACGCACATACAACATAACACTGTCACACCACACCACGCACATACAACATAACACTGTCTGTCACACACAACGCACGCACATACAACATAACACTGTCACAACACACCACGCACATACAACATAACACTGTCACAACACACCACGCACATACAACATAACACTGTCACAACACACCAACGCACATACAACATAACACTGTCACAACACACCACGCACATACAACATAACACTGTCACAACACACCACGCACATACAACATAACACTGTCACAACACACCACGCACATACAACATAACACTGTCACAACACACCACGCACACACATACAACATAACACTGTCACAACACACCACGCACATACAACATAACACTGTCACAACACACCACGCACACACAACATAACACTGTCACACCACACCACGCACACACAACATAACACTGTCACAACACACCACGCACATACAGGATAACACTGTCACAACACACCATGCACACACAACATAACACTGTCACAACACACCACGCACATACACCATAACACTGTCACAACACACCATGCACATACAACATAACACTGTCACAACACACCACGCACACACAACATAACACTGTCACACCACACCACGCACACACAACATAACACTGTCACACCACACCACGCACACACAACATAACACTGTCACAACACACCACGCACACACAACATAACACTGTCACACCACACCACGCACACACAACAACATAACACTGTCACAACACACCACGCACACACAACATAACACTGTCACAACACACCACGCATAATCAATACAACATAACACTGTCACAACACACCACGCACATAATAATACCAACATAACACTGTCACAACACACCACGCACATACAGGATAACACTGTCACAACACACCATGCACATACACAACATAACACTGTCACAACACACCACGCACATACACCATAACACTGTCACACCACACCACGCACACACAACATAACACTGTCACACCACACCACGCACATAACATACAACATAACACTGTCACAACACACCACGCCACGCACATACAGGATAACACTGTCACAACACACCACGCACACACAAATATAACACTGTCACACCACACCATGCATACACACAACATAACACTGTCACAACACACCACGCACACACAACATAACACTGTCACAACACACAACACACATACAGCATAACACTGTCACAACACACCACGCACACACAACATAACACTGTCACAACACACCACGCACATACAACATAACACTGTCACAACACACCATGCACATACAACATAACACTGTCACAAACACAACACACACATAACATAACACTGTCACAACACACCACGCACATACAGCATAACACTGTCACAACACACCACGCACACACAACATAACACTGTCACAACACACCACGCACATGCAACATAACACTGTCACAACACACCATGCACATACAACATAACACTGTCACAACACACCACGCACATACAACATAACACTGTCACAACACACCACGCACATACAACATAACACTGTCACAACACACCACGCACATACAACATAACACTGTCACAACACACCACGCACATACAACACAACATAACACTGTCACAACACACCATGCACAACATAATAACACTGTCACAACACACCACGCACACACAACATAACACTGTCACAAACACATCACGCACATACAACATAACACTGTCACAACACACGCACGCACATACAACATAACACTGTCACAACACACCACGCACATACAACATAACACTGTCACAACACACAACACACATACAACATAACACTGTCACAACACACCACGCACATACAGGATAACACTGTCACAACACACCATGCACACACAACATAACACTGTCACAACACACCACGCACACACAACATAACACTGTCACACCACACCACGCACATACAACATAACACTGTCACAACACACAACACACACATACAGGATAACACTGTCACAACACACCACGCACACACAACATAACACTGTCACACCACACCACGCACACACAACATAACACTGTCACAACACACCACGCACATACAGGATAACACTGTCACAACACACCACGCACACAACATAACACTGTCACAACACACCACGCACATACACCATAACACTGTCACAACCACACCACGCACATACAACATAACACTGTCACAACACACCACGCACACACAACATAACACTGTCACAACACACCACGCACACACAACATAACACTGTCGTCACACCACACACACGCACATACAACATAACACTGTCACAACACACCACGCACATACAGGATAACACTGTCACAACACACCATGCACACACATAACATAACACTGTCACAACACACCACGCACATACACCATAACACTGTCACAACACACCATGCACATACAACATAACACTGTCACAACACACCACGCACACACAACATAACACTGTCACACCACACCACGCACATATACAACATAACACTGTCACAACACACCACGCACATACAACATAACACTGTCACAACACACCACGCACACATACAACATAACACTGTCACACCACACCACGCACACACAACATAACACTGTCACACCACACCACGCACACACAACATAACACTGTCACAACACACCACGCACACACAACATAACACTGTCACACCACACCACGCACATACAACATAACACTGTCACAACACACCACGCACATACAGGATAACACTGTCACAACACACCATGCACACACAACATAACACTGTCACAACACACCACGCACATACACCATAACACTGTCACACCACACCACGCACATACAACATAACACTGTCACACCACACCACGCACATACAACATAACACTGTCACAACACACCACGCACATACAGGATAACACTGTCACAACACACCACGCACACACAACATAACACTGTCACACCACACCATGCACACACAACATAACACTGTCACAACACACCACGCACACACAACATAACACTGTCACAACACACAACACACATACAGCATAACACTGTCACAACACACCACGCACACACAACATAACACTGTCACAACACACCACGCACATACAACATAACACTGTCACAACACACCATGCACATACAACATAACACTGTCACAACACACAACACACACACAACATAACACTGTCACAACACACCACGCACATACAGCATAACACTGTCACAACACACCACGCACACACAACATAACACTGTCACAACACACCACGCACATGCAACATAACACTGTCACAACACACCATGCACACACAACATAACACTGTCACAACACACCACGCACATACAACATAACACTGTCACAACACACCACGCACACACAACATAACACTGTCACAACACACCACGCACATACAACATAACACTGTCACAACACACCACGCACATACAACATAACACTGTCACACCACACCATGCACACACAACATAACACTGTCACAACACACCACGCACACACAACATAACACTGTCACAACACACAACACACATACAGCATAACACTGTCACAACACACCACGCACATACAACATAACACTGTCACAACACACCACGCACATACAACATAACACTGTCACAACACACCACGCACATACAACATAACACTGTCACAACACACCACGCACATACAACATAACACTGTCACAACACACCACGCACACACAACATAACACTGTCACAACACACCACGCACACACAACATAACACTGTCACAACACACCACGCACACACAACATAACACTGTCACAACACACCACGCACATACAACATAATACTGTCACACCACACCACGCACATACAGTATAACACTGTCACAACATATATTATGTTCTTCTTTGCTTATGCTCAGCTCTTTTGAATACTCTTTTGTTATATTAGATATATTTAATACAAGTTGACCGTACACCTTTATACGTATGTATGATCCCAAGAATCTCTATATACTTAGTTTGATAGATTAACAGGATCTATGAATCAGGAGGAAATAGATGCGAATAAAAGATAACTTCCAAGCCATTCGAGCTTATCAAACTGAAATATCTAAGATCACCCATGGCTTATAGGCAGTAAAGAATGTTAGGTTAACATACACTGAGATGTGTCTGGAGCAGATAAACCCTTCGAGTCTATCACAAGCTGCGTCAGTTGAGTATTTATTTCTTCTGCTTGTTTTATCAGACCAATGCTGCTATGGTGGTCGTCATGGTCACCGCTCGTCACAACCTGATAACAACAAACATCCATGCTCGAACATTACAACTTCTATCTCACTAATGAAATAGCCAAGTTAATCTTGAAGAAACAAACCACAAAACAATATTCATATGCTTCTATTTATGTACTCTCAGAAAGCTCACGAGCGTCATCAAAACATCATACCTTAATGCCTGCTAATATGCTCTTCCGTTCTTCCAATGAAGCCTTCAAAGCTTGATCATTCCTCTTCAGTTTCTCTGTCAACACAAAATAGATAGCGTCCATTGAAACAGTTAGTGAATATTATGGTTGTGGAGACAGACATGCGTTTAACTCATTATACACGTGTAGGGTTTAGGGCCAAAATAATTATGTCAGTAATCATGTATGTAATGAATCTCAGATCGCGTGTTTTGTTCCAATGCATAATGCAATCCTTCCCGCTGAATGTACACTTCGACGTTGTAAACACAGGTCCAGATGATGGCATTTTGTGCAAATAATGTTCGTAAAAACATGGTCGTGTTCAGGTGTAGCTTCCTGTCCCATCAAGGTCCATCCTCCCTCAGGCTACAATGGTCTAACCCTGACTGTACTCTGGCCATCATACCATGAGATGTTAGTGGAGGGAGGCACCTACCTATTGGGGTGAGGACCTGTTCTGCCTGCCCCACTACAGGATCTGATATGTAAACTTCATGTGCCTGAATCAGTGAATCAGCTGTCTCCAAGCCGATCTGCATCAGTTTGTGTGGTGGGGATGTAGGACTGGAACAAAGTAATAGTAAACAATACTTACTGTTTATTATGTATATTACACAAAGGGTTGGTAAAAAAACCCAGTGTCATTTTAAGGCATTTAGAAACCACCCAGCATGAAGGGTAATTATCAAATCGAATTGTTATGGAAACCATTGATGTGAGAGAGAGTGAGTGAGTGAGTGAATAAGTGAGTTTAGTTTTACGCCGCACTCAGCAATATTCCAGCTATATAGCGGAAGTATGTAAATAATCGAGTCAGGACCAGACAATCCAGTCATCAACACAATGAGCATCGATCTACGCCATTGGGATACCATGACATGTGTCAACCAAGTCAGCGAGCCTGACCACCCGATTAGCCGCCTCTTACGACAAGCATGGTTTACTGAAGATCAATTCTTACCTGGATCTTCACGGGTAATATATCATAGTTAGTTAATAATGGTATTCGGCCGTTATCTGAAAAATGAATTACTTTGATTTGCTTGGATTTGTCTGTGAGGGTTCTGCACTAGGGTCCTTGGTTCCATGGGGTGGCGTTGATACTGGGCAAGTTACAGACCGATTGAGATATTTTACCCATCTGAAACAGTGTACAGAAACCTATACCCATCTGAAACAATGAACAGAAATCTATATCCATCTGAAACAGTGTACAGAATAACAATCTCATCTGAAACATTGCCTCCTTCAACTGTTTCATTGATCATCCTAGAAAAACCACGTGTCCATCCGTAATGGGATAAGATACCCTTTGCTTGTTAATAGCATACACATTACTGTCGTGCCACAATGCCATGATGGCAAGGCTTCGTCAGTGGCCTTCAGCACCTACTTCGTTACCTAGTGTGCGGACCAGCAGCGCTTCACATACACTGGTGACTCAGTACTTGCCTGTCTCTCTCCAACTGGGACTGAGCCACGAACCGGTACATCTCCGGCTTGTACGCTTGGCTGTTTATCACCATGAATGCTTTCTTATCTGAAATCAATGTGTAAGGAATAGTAATACATGCTAGGGCAGTTTAGCCTTGGTTACATAATGGATTTGAATACACATATCGCAATAATTCTAATGTTTTCTTGCTATTTAATTAATATTTAATTTAATGTATCTTTGCTCCGAATTGCTGAAACTGACTTTAGTTTTGCAGCATGCCCAACTGGCAAAAGATGTCTTCACATACACACACGCACGCACACACACATATGCATATGCACGCACCAACATGAACATCTGAATCAACAACGGTATCAGTTGGCTACTGACAACTACCATATCAACATGCATAAACACTTACCAACCACTTAGTAACCACACCAACTATCTACTATTCTATGTCATATCCTATGTCACTATCCATAGGCAATAATGACAGCACAAATGCTGACTACAATGACCGTACCAATCCAGCTTTTCGCCATTTAAACCCACATCCATATCCAAGTCAAGAACAACAAATCAACATTACCATCACAAACAGCAACATTATCAACCAAGTACATGCACCAACATTCGTATCTATATCTCTGCAAATAAGCAGTCATCCACGGAAAGTCCACTCTTATCCACATGCAACAGGTGCGCCCATAGCCACACACCACAGCACAGTCTTCTAGACAAACTTCTTTCCAAGTTTATGTCATGCCCCTCGCAACAACCTGATCTCCCACGCACCTGCTGCATCTTCTCTGGCCATCAGCTTCTGTCGCTGGAGAAGAGGGCTTTTGCTTTTGTAGGTTTCTTTATCGTTAAAGTGACACAGGACCAGTTTATCATCCTGCTTCTGTAACAGCACCATTATGTTCTCCAGCAGCACCACATGCACATCCATCGTCCGATGTGACCGCAACTTCATGGACAACACTCCGTCATACACAAGGGTGTTTCGCTTTGGGTCCAGATCCTGTAACATGAACACATGAGTAGCATTATGTTACGATGTGGAGATGTTTGAGCATCCGAGACATTGGGCTGAGATCATTGATAATAAAAGACTGAAAGCGGCTGTATGACGTGAAAGCATTCCAGATGTCAGAGAAGTAAACGTGTTAACAAGCACTTACAGAATTGTATACAGACACCATGTTAAGTCAAAGGTATCATTGGTCAACTTCAGTCCGATCATTAACATTTAATGCGAATATTAGTGACATTAATATAGTAATAATACAGGTAAGTAGCAGAATCCAGCTCATTCTTCATTAAAACCTGCACATTTGCCTACCCAGACTGTACCTACTCTGACTTCCGTATACAGATAGCTGTTTGATGTGCTGTACCTACTCTGACTTCCGTATACAGATAGCTGTTTGATGTGCTGTACCTACACTGACTTCCGTATACAGATAGCTGTTTGGTGTGCTGTACCTACTCAGACTTCCGTATACAGATAGCTGTTTGATGTGCTCTGCCTACTCTGACTTCCGTATACAGATAGCTGTTTGATGTGTTGTACCTACACTGACTTCGGTAAATAGATAGCTGTTTGATGTGCTGTACCTACACTGACTTCCGTATACAGATTGCTGTTTGATGTGCTGTGCCTACTCTGACTTCCGTATACAGATAGCTGTTTGATGTGTTGTACCTACTCTGACTTTCGTATACAGATAGCTGTTTGATGTGCTGTACCTACACTGACTTCCGTATACAGATTGCTGTTTTATGTGCTGTACCTTCACTGACTTCCGTATACAGATAGCTGTTTGGTGTGCTGTGCCTACTCTGACTTCCGTATACAGATAGCTGTTTGATGTGCTGTACCTACTCTGACTTCCATATACAGATAGCTGTTTGATGTGCTGTACCTACTCTGACTTCCGTATACAGATAGCTGTTTGATGTGCTGTACCTACACTGACTTCCGTATACAGATAGCTGTTTGGTGTGCTGTGCCTACTCTGACTTCCGTATACAGATAACTGTTTGATGTGCTGTGCCTACTCTGACTTCCATATACAGATAGCTGTTTGATGTGCTTTACCTACCCTGACTTCCGTATACAGATAGCTGTTTGATGTGCTGTACCTACACTGACTTCCGTATACAGATAGCTGTTTGATGTGCTGTACCTACCCTGACTTCCGTATACAGATAGCTGTTTGATGTGCTGTACTTACCCTGACTTCCGTATACAGATAGCTGTTTGATGTGCTGTACCTACCCTGACTTCCGTATACAGATAGCTGTTTGATGTGCTGTACCTACTCTGACTTCCGTACACAGATAGCTGTTTGATGTGCTGTACCTACCCTGACTTCCGTATACAGATAGCTGTTTGATGTGCTGTACCTACCCTGACTTCCGTATACAGATAGCTGTTTGATGTGCTGTACCTACACTGACTTCCGTATACAGATAGCTGTTTGGTGTGCTGTACCTACTCAGACTTCCGTATACAGATAGCTGTTTGATGTGCTCTGCCTACTCTGACTTCCGTATACAGATAGCTGTTTGATGTGTTGTACCTACACTGACTTCGGTAAATAGATAGCTGTTTGATGTGCTGTACCTACACTGACTTCCGTATACAGATTGCTGTTTGATGTGCTGTGCCTACTCTGACTTCCGTATACAGATAGCTGTTTGATGTGTTGTACCTACTCTGACTTTCGTATACAGATAGCTGTTTGATGTGCTGTACCTACACTGACTTCCGTATACAGATTGCTGTTTTATGTGCTGTACCTTCACTGACTTCCGTATACAGATAGCTGTTTGTGTGCTGTGCCTACTCTGACTTCCGTATACAGATAGCTGTTTGATGTGCTGTACCTACTCTGACTTCCATATACAGATAGCTGTTTGATGTGCTGTACCTACTCTGACTTCCGTATACAGATAGCTGTTTGATGTGCTGTACCTACACTGACTTCCGTATACAGATAGCTGTTTGGTGTGCTGTGCCTACTCTGACTTCCGTATACAGATAACTGTTTGATGTGCTGTGCCTACTCTGACTTCCATATACAGATAGCTGTTTGATGTGCTTTACCTACCCTGACTTCCGTATACAGATAGCTGTTTGATGTGCTGTACCTACACTGACTTCCGTATACAGATAGCTGTTTGATGTGCTGTACCTACCCTGACTTCCGTATACAGATAGCTGTTTGATGTGCTGTACTTACCCTGACTTCCGTATACAGATAGCTGTTTGATGTGCTGTACCTACCCTGACTTCCGTATACAGATAGCTGTTTGATGTGCTGTACCTACTCTGACTTCCGTACACAGATAGCTGTTTGATGTGCTGTACCTACCCTGACTTCCGTATACAGATAGCTGTTTGATGTGCTGTACCTACCCTGACTTCCGTATACAGATAGCTGTTTGATGTGCTGTACCTACTCTGACTTCCGTATACAGATAGCTGTTTGATGTGCTGTGCTTACCCTGACTTCCGCATACAGATAGCTTTTTGGCGAGTTGTCTATTGACGACTTGTCCAACATTTCCAGTATATCTGACAACCTGTAGTAGTTGTCATATTCCAGCTCAGTTTGCTTCACAAATGCTTCAACGTTTCGGCTTTCTTGAAGAGCTTTTTCGAGATGACGGAGTTCTTCGGAATCTGCTGAAGAAATGTTTTGTTGTATCGAACGATTTACTCACTCACTCCGATCCGAGGAGGGACTAAAACCACAAATGGGAAAATCATGTGATTTTGACGTCTATCTGTCTTCACCCATGAGGAAGACATGCAAATTATGGTGGTAGTTTCGAACAAGGGATCTTATAAAACGATTCACTTAATTCTGTGTGTTTTGGTCAAATAATTATCGGTATGCTTCCTAACTTTCTCATAACATGGAGAAAGCGTGCTACAACATATAAACATAGAGTACGACGATAACTGTAGAAATAGGTTATTCAGCCCATACCGTCAGTATATTTGATGATGTCCTCAATAAACACTGGGTATTGTGCCAAACGCTGCATCTGAGCTGACACCATGTCTTTCAGTTTCATGTGTCGACATATAGGACTGCTTTCTGATTTCTGAAACACAGTAGAAGAGTTTAAAGTGAGTGAGTGAGTTTAGTTTTACGTCGCTTTTGGCAATGTTCCAGCAATATCACGGCGGGGGACATCAGAAATGGGTTTCACATATTGTACCCATGTCGGGAATCGAACCCGGGTTCTCGGCGTGAGGAACGAAAGCTTAACCACTAGGCTACCCCACCGCCCCAGAAGAGTTTAAAGTAAACGTGCAGGCACTGAACAACCAATTCAAACGAAGCGGCAGATTGCATCTTTACAGGAAGAAACAAAAAACACATCTAGTATCTTAATACGTGCAATTGACAAATGCTGCATAAAAACAAGGAAATATAAGCTTATTTCTGTTAAAGAAACATATAATATTAGAGCGACCAATGATCACTTTGTGAATCACAGCAGCACGTGGTCTAACGCACCGACTGTATCCTGCAAGCAACACTTCAGTATCTCTCGCATACTGTTAAACAACTGTGTACTTACTACCTGGGAATTGAAAGAAAAACAATTTAAATACATATGTTGTTCCACACCAACAGATCTCATTGATGTGTAAAGAGTTCTTTGATGGGCATTTTAGTTGCGTCGCCTTTCACAGAATAAGAAGTTGTATATCCATAAAATTATCATCATTCTTCGTGTAAAGAGTTGTTTGTTAATCTATAGACATACACTGATAAGTTGTGTAAGGTGTGGATCTTTACATTTCTTCACATCCCGAAGTGTTTGACTCTGCTTGCGACAATACTCAGCACTCGCTCCTCTGTACTGCCTCCCCCTGTCGCCGTCAAACTGAAGCAGAAACAACACCATGTTTAGTGTAGAAGGAAGTTGGCTTTGACACTACATGGTTTTATTACCGGGTATTTACTTAACGTGGATGAACATTTAAATCTCGAGAAACCCGCAGCCATTGTTACAACAGTATCAGGGTGCATCATGGGTTAAAGGGACACCCATGCCCTTTGTGACGTCATCAGTGCGTGGTTATGTGCCGCCATTCATCAGTATGAATACACGTTGATCACAATGTCAAAAAGATGGTAAAGAATACTCTTGAAACTGAGATACACTGAATACACACACCAGACAACATCAGTAGCTTACTGTACGAGCAGCTGAGGAAGGTGTCCTCCTAATGTTTCTACAACTGGTACTTACCAAGGACAGAAAGACGCCCGCCACCTGCTGTATAATGAGGGAGTCATCTCGTGCCGCCTGCAGCTGTTTGTTAAACTCCCCTGGTCACATCACACGACATAGGTTTAATAACATTTTAAACATTTTAACATATTAGTTTGATGTTTTACGCAGCACACAGCAATATTTCTGATACATCCTTGAATATGTCTTATCTGTCTCTTGAAGGAGGTGACTTACTAAGTGGGTTTGTGGGCAAAGATTACAGTATGCTCTGTGAATTTGTTGACCACTATAATTGTATTCATATTGCCAAACCTTAATTCTAGAACCATTTGACTAACAAAACTAATGTAATTACATAAGGCAATCTTAAAGCTTTGAATGTTGAAATATATATTATTAACATTTTCGATTCTCTCGGCTCTAAAACCATATCATGTAATGAAGCTCAGGACATAGGGATCTTAGCTCTATGACTGTAGCTGAGCAAGGTCTGGCTTCAGTGTTGCACTAACTGACTGTTATCAAGCCAATGTGAGACATTTCAATTCTCTAGGAACTCACGCTATAGTGTCACCTGATGTGTGAATGTATGAACTAAACTGGTAGGCTGTGGAACTCACTGTGAAAACTCAATATCTGTTCCAACTCCGGAAACAAGTGATGTGCCACCTGTTGATAGTCAGACAGAAGGGGCTTGAGGAACATCTCTTCCAGAACCCTTAGTACTCGCACGTGGAGTCTCTCTGTGTGCAGCAGCTCTGGAATGTGTACAGCCACCAAACAGTTTACATGAATATGAAAACAAGAATCTGTAGAGCGTCCCTTTGAAGCTATATTCTGACCTATGGAGAACCATTCAACAGGCCGAATGTCTGGGCTTTCATCTGAAGGATTTCACCTGAGACACGAACCTTGATAATTCTTGTGTGTGTCTGATTGTGAGGAGAATTGTTCTTTCAACAGTAGCCCGATCGCGTTTTCCCCAGAACAAGAACATATATGAATGTCTGAATATTGTTTTACATCAACAATTTATCCAGCTTTGTTAGGGGGCCTGTATTCGTGTAAGTTCGATCATTGCCAACAGACCCGTGAAAGTCCGGGTTAGAATTGATCTTCAGTAACCCATGCTTGTTGTAAGAGGCGACTAACGTGATCGGGTGGTCAGGCTCGCTGACTGGGTTGACACATGTCATCGTATCCCAATTGCGTAGATCGATGTTCAGCTGTTGATCCCTGGATTGTCTGGTCCAGACTCGATTATTTACAGACCGCTGCCATATAGCTGGAATATTGCTGAGTGCGGCGTAAAACTAAACTCACTCACCCATTGCCAATTGTAATCGTGCCAGTTCGATCATTGCCAACAACACAAAGAGGCATAATTGTGCCATGGTGTTTAGATATGTATTCTCTCCATTGGTGTGTTATTAAAAGATGTTTATTGGTTGCCTGAGGTCTCACCATTCAGTTTTTCCTGGCGGTTCCGCTCCTGTTGTTTCAGCGCCAGGGCGCCTTTGGCTCCCAGTAGCTCCTTCAGCACAGGTAGACCTGGTTCCACATCCAGCTCCGGATCTGATGCCAGCATTGCATCATGTTCAGTCTCCACAGGGCTAGGTGGGGGGTCGGTGTTGTTACGTGGTTTCAACCTTAACAATACATGACATCACCATTACTATATTCCCAACCTTGTAAACTAACATTCAGTATGTGGCTGCTTGTTGCAGAATATACGCTTCTGTTTAGTCATGAAGCTTGCCATGTTTGCCATGTTAATGTAGACGGATATAAAGCTGGACTTATGCAACGTTTGTTTACAAACAATGAACGTTATGTTCAGGCTGTGATGTATTCTTTAAAGGAAAGCCAATCTCTTTGTAGTTTCCTGTTTGTGTGACGTGACTTTCCGATTAGTTTAAGCCTGCAAGCATCGCATTCACACTGGTACATTTACTTTGTATGTCTGGTTTTCTGTATTGTCATGTATTTTTACAGGGAGTACGAGATATCATCACAGATGGACTAACCGAGAAATGAAACTTGACGGGGAGAAGCTAAGTGATGGCCTGTGAGACTTCTTGCTGTGCTCCTCCATTTCAAGGTCACGAGTGACTGCTCACCTTGTGTAGCAAATATCTTGAAACAAAAATATGGTTTTGAAATTTTTAGCAAACAATATAACATCCTTTCACGCTAAAAAAAGAATTCACGATAAACGATAATAGTGTCTAGTTGGTATTCAGTATGTCGTCTGCGGGGAATGGGCTCGAATGACATCTTGTTGTGGGTATGTGCTATGTTCTCTTCAGCATCGTACAAACATATGGATGGTCAGTTATAGTGATAGTTAAAGTAATAGTCAGATGTAGAAACAGTCAGGTGTACAGTCCGTTTGGCTCATAAGCGGACCGATGAATTGCAATCTAACTCGAGAACTAATAAACATAACATGCTCAATGAAACGCTGATCATAATCAAAACATCATACCCACTCTGTGAGGTTTTTGCAGAATTTTTGTCCTAAAAATAATAAAGTTGTTTAACAAACTATCATTAAAATATTGACACAGTTCACTGTTTGTCAACTGTGGGTAGTGCCCCCACTCAGCGGATAACATGTCTTCATCGCGTGTAAGTGATGAGATGGGTAACCTGAGATCAGAGGACTCCCCTAGTCATGACTCTTACATTTGTCACAGTTACAGACCACTGCGGACATTTGTCGACACGTTTAACAGTTCGGCCAAATTCCACATTTCTTGTTGAGAGAACCTGAGTGAGTGAGTTTAGCTTTACGCCGCGTTTAGAAATATTCCAGCAATATCACGGCGGGGGACACCAGAAATGGGCTTCACTCATTGTACCCATGAGTAGAATCGAACCACTTCGGCGTGACGAGCGAACGCTTTAACAACTAGGCTATCCTACCGCCCCTTACTTGTCGAGATATATTTGAATATATACAGTCTTGTTGGCGTTATAAAAACAATACATGTTCAGCGTGTAACTTCCGGGTGTACATGTGTCTCATTCACATTGACTGTTCAGTGCGTTCTAGCATGTAGGCGAGTTCAGTCACATCGGCAAGGACACTAGACGTGATAGCAACATAAGTGTACAGACATCCTATAGATTTAAATTACATTTGTGACGTCATTCCATTGTCTGTTCGCTCAATTACTTTTCAGGAATGGAGGGATGTGTACCAGTTTCAAAATAAAACCTTCATTTTGTCATTTTGACATTTAATTTTGATAACAGAAATATTCCCAATACTTCGAAAGTAATTTAAGTAGGGTAATATCCTCGTAACTCTCCAATCCTTAAAAAGAATGTGCCTCGGCCCCATTATTTTTAAGGAATGGAGAGTTACTCGGACATTACCCTCGACGTCATCCTATAGATGTACTGACACTGCCCATGCACCCTATAGATGTACTGACCCTGTCCCCTGCATCCTATAGATGTACTGACCTTGTCCACTGCCCCCTATAGATGTACTGACACTGCCCCCCCATATCCCGGCCCGATATATGTACTGTCACTGACCCCCTGGATGTTCTGACACTGGTCCCTGGACCCCCTTGATGTACTGACACTGCCCCTACGGATGTACTGACCCTGTCCCCTGCATCTTATAGATGTACTGACACTGGTCCCTGGACCCCTAGATGTACTGACACTGCCCCTATAGATGTACTGACCCTGTCCCCTGCATCCTATAGATGTACTGACCCTGTCCCCTGCCCCCTATAGATGTACTGACACTGGTCCCTGCCCCCTATAGATGTACTGACACTGGTCCCTGGACCCCTACAGACACTGGTCCCGGCTCCATATAGATGTACTGACACTGCCCCTATAGATGTACTGACACTGGTCCCTGCCCCCTATTGATGTACTGACACTGTCCCTGCCCCATATAGATGTACTGACACTGTCCCTCCCCCTTATAGATGTACTGACACTGGTCCCTGCCCCCTATAGATGTACTGTCACTGGTCCCTGCCCCCTATAGATGTACTGACACTGGTCCCTGCCCCCTATAGATGTACTGACACCGGTCCCTGCCCCCTATAGATGTACTGACACTGGTCCCTGGACCCTATAGATGTACTGACACTGGTCCCTGGACCCTATAGATGTACTGACACTGGTCCCTGCCCCCTATAGATGTACTGACACTGGTCCCTGCCCCCTATAGATGTACTGACACTGGTCCCTGGACCCCTACAGACACTGGTCCCGGCTCCATATAGATGTACTGACACTGCCCCTATAGATGTACTGACACTGGTCCCTGCCCCCTATTGATGTACTGACACTGTCCCTGCCCCATATAGATGTACTGACACTGTCCCTCCCCCTTATAGATGTACTGACATGGGTCCCTGCCCCCTATAGATGTACTGACACTGGTCCCTGCCCCCTATAGATGTACTGACACTGGTCCCTGCCCCCTATTGATGTACTGACACTGGTCCCTGCCCCCTATAGATGTACTGACACTGGTCCCTGGACCCTATAGATGTACTGACACTGTCCCTCCCCCTTATAGATGTACTGACATTGGTCCCTGCCCCCTATAGATGTACTGACACTGGTCCCTGCCCCCTATTGATGTACTGACACTGGTCCCTGCCCCTATAGATGTACTGACACTGGTCCCTGCCCCTATTGATGTACTGACACTGGTCCCTGCCCCTATTGATGTACTGACACTGGTCCCTCCCCCTTATAGATGTACTGACACTGTCCCTCCCCTATAGATGTACTGACACTGTCCCTCCCCTATAGATGTACTGACACTGGTCCCTGCCCCTATTGATGTACTGACACTGTCCCTGCCCCCTATAGATGTACTGACACTATCCCTCCCCATTATAGATGTACTGACACTGGTCCCTGCCCCCTATAGATGTACTGACACTGGTCCCTGCCCCCTATAGATGTACTTACACTGGTCCCTGGACCCCCTTGATGTACTGACACTGGTCCCTGGACCCCCTTGATGTACTGACACTGCCCCTACGGATGTACTGACCCTGTCCCCTGCATCCTATAGATGTACTGACCCTGGCCCCTGGCCCCTATAGATGTACAGACACTGCCCCTATAGATGTACTGACACTGTCCCTCCCCCTATAGATGTACTGACACTGCCCCCTGCACCCTATAGATGTACTGACACTGGTCAATGCACCCTATAGATGTACTGACACTGGTCAATGCACCCTACGGATGTACTGACACTGTCCCTACACCCTATAGATGTACTGACACTGGTCCCTGCTCCCTACGGATGTACTGACACTGTCCCTGCACCCTACGGATGTACTGACACTGCCCCTACGGATGTACTGACACTGTCCCTGCCCCCTATTGATGTACTGACACTGTCCCTGCACCCTATAGATGTACTGACACTGTCCCTGCCCCCTCCGGATGTACTGACACTGTCCCTGTCTCTATAGATGTACTGACACTGTCCCTGCCCCCTATAGATGAACTGACCCTGTCCCCTATAGATGTACAGACACTGTCCCTGCCCCCTATAGATGTACTGACACTGCCCCTACGGATGTACAGACACTGTCCCTATAGATGTACTAACACTGCCCCCTGCACCCTATAGATGTACTAACACTGCCCCCTGCACCCCATAGATGTTCTGACACTGTCCCCTATAGATGTACAGACACTGTCCCTGCCCCCTATAGATGTACAGACACTGCCCCCTATAGATGTACTGATACAGCCCCCTGCACCCATTAGATGTACTAATACAGCCCCCTGCTCCTCATAGATGTACTGATACAGCCCCTGCACCCCATAGATGTACTGACACTGCCCCCTATAGATGTACTAATACGGCCCCCTGCACCTCATAGATGTACTGATACAGCCCCTGCACACCATAGATGTGCTGATACAGCCCCCTGCACCCTATAGATGTACTGATACAGCCCCCTGCACCTCATAGATGTACTGATACAGCCCCTGCACCCCATAGATGTACTGACACTGCCCCCTATAGATGTACTAATACAGCCCCCTGCACCTCATAGATGTACTGATACAGCCCTTGCACCCAATATATGTACTGATACAGCCCCCTGCACCCTATAGATGTACTGATACAGCCCCCTGCACCCTATAGATGTACTAATACAGCCCCTGCTCCTCATAGATGTACTGATACAGCCCCTGCACCCCATAGATGTACTGACTGACACTCCCCTGCCCCTATAGATGTACTAATACGGCCCCCTGCACCTCATATAGATGTACTGATACAGCCCCTGCACCCCATATGTGTGCTGATACAGCCCCCTGCACCCTATAGATGTACTGATACAGCCCCCTGCACCTCATAGATGTACTGATACAGCCCCTGCACCCCATAGATGTACTGACACTCGCCCCTATAGATGTACTAATACAGCCCCCTGCACCTCATAGATGTACTGATACAGCCCCCTGCACTTCATAGATGTACTGATACAGTCCCCTGCACCCCATAGATGTACTGATACAGCCCCCTGCACCCCATAGATGTACTGACACTGTCCCCTATAGATGTACAGACACTGCCCCTACGGATGTACTGACACTCTCCCTGCACCCTATAGATGTACTGACACTGTCCCTGCCCCCTACAGATGAACTGTCCCTGCCCCCTATAGATGTACTGACACTGTCCCTATAGATGTACTAATACAGCCCCCTGCACCTCATAGATGTACTGATACAGCCCCTGCACCCCATAGATGTACTGACACTGCCCCCTATAGATGTACTAATACAGCCCCCTGCACCTCATAGATGTACTGATACAGCCCCTGCACCCCATATATGTACTGATACAGCCCCCTGCACCTTATAGATGTACTGATACAGGCCCCTGCACCTCATAGATGTACTGACACAGCCCCCTGCACCCTCATAGATGTACTGATACAGCCCCTGCACCTCATAGATGTACTGATACAGTCCCCTGCACCCCATAGATGTACTGATACAGCCCCCTGCACCCCATAGATGTACTGATACAGCCCCTGCACCCTATAGATGTACTGATACAGCCCCCTGCATCCTATAGATGTACTGATACAGCTCCTGCATCCCATAGATGTACTGACACTCGTCCCTGCACCCCATATATGTACTGATACAGCTCCTGCATCCCATAGATGTACTGACACTCGTCCCTGCACCCTATAGATGTAGTGATACAGCCCCCTGCACCCCACAGATGTATTGATATAGCTCCCTGCACCCCATAGATGTACTGATACAGCCACCTGCACCCCATAGATGTACTGATACAGCCCCTTGCACCCCATAGATGTACTGGGTGACTATCAAAGTCGCTTGAAATCCGGCCAAGTGGATCAGCACTCTTGCCATCAACCGTATGCCTAGCCACTGACTGAACGTTGAAACATTCATTTTCAGTGTCTTTGCTCATTTCATCCATGATACAAGACGAAAAACGTAAAGCTAAATACTCGTGTAAACGTGGAATAACGTGTTGTTTACACTACTTTACCTGGCACACGGCTGAGTGTTTTGTCTGAGCTGTGATCCTGCCTCTATGTACGTAATATAAGTAGGATCAGAATCTAGACCCGTGCCTCGAGGGAAAGTTGGATCGGTGAAGGTGTGCCGTATGCGGATTGTGTGTGGGATTGTGGGTCTGAACTCAAGAGTGAGTGACAGATTAAGGATCCAGACAGTAATATTCCACCTGAATCTGGGCGATATTATATGACAACAGACTGGAACAGTCACACCAATTACAGAGGCATGATGACAAGCAATGCGAGGCTCTATGGTTGACCCCTACCACAATGTGAGATACCAGCAAGTCTCCATCCCGGAATCCCAACATTTTAACAAGGCCAGGTGAACTTGCCATGACTTTACCCGAGCCTTGGCCCTTATCAGCGAGGCCTACAGCAGGCGTCCCATAGCGGAACAACCACATGCACGACAACAGTATAGCCTGCTATTGAGGTCATATCTCAGCCGTCCTTTCAGGTTACCGATCAAATCATATAATCGTCTCCTCGACCCCGATCATGACTACATAACAGTTGAGAATGAGTTTCGACTCACTTGAAGCAGACAACCCGGTAAACTAACGTAATAAATCATTATGTCAATACCTAGCCCGTGTCAAGCCTATCTAGGCTGTATCTCACATACTTACTGTTACATTGCAGCCTGGATTTGTATCTCGAATCAACACGTTGACTGTGCAAGAGTATTCCACCAGCTACCCGATGTCACACCGACATGTGTACCTCGTTTGTGGGGCTTGATCCGTGACGTAATTGCTGTTTATATCAGCAAGAACAAGTAGGTTGTCAACAGAATTCAACATGCGCGACTCTAAATCTCCCAGCATGACGCTGTGAATGGGTAGGACGGGTGGCGACAGTCACATGATGTAAATTCAACACGTTAAGTGTCTAGCTATAAATCGTCGCCATGTTGACAGTTGTATATACACACAGTATGTGAACTAGAGTAGGTGTCGACCATTGTCCTATCAGCGTATGTTCACGGTGCTGTCGCAGTGGCCGGACGTGGTGTTACAGTGTGTGTGTGTCGGCGATAACAGGACCTTCCTTTCCTGTCAAACATCCTCACATTATTCAGTGTCTTTATGCAGTACTCTATGATTGGGAAACGCCTTTCACCTTTAACCTCCGGCAAATGTTTTGAAATTCTATAACTGTCCCTTCAACACAGTACATTTAGTTCACCCCAAACTGTTACTTCCTCGTACCAGCCGAAATGTCCTGGTGAACGGGAAAGAGATAGAAAGTCACATACAACAAACCTTATCTCCATGAGATAAGTGGGGCCAACAGTTCGGTCCAACAACAATGTCATGTGCTATTTAAAGCATAATATCTTGATTCTTATACCAAACTATTATTTCCTTATGACAGTGTGACGCCCATTTCTGGTGTCCCCTATCGTGATATTCCTAGAATGTTGCTAAAGGCGGCGTAAAACAATACTCACTCATTCGTTATCACAGGCAACAGACCTCTACCTCCGCGTCATACTTTCAGTCAGTTGGGAGATAAGGCTCACTGTATATTCACAGTCAAAGGTCTGGACGGTACAAATACCTTGAGTGAAACGGAGAGCGTTCCTGTGTAATACATGCATCTGCCTGAACTGACATGCATACAATGTACATAACGGACACACTTGGTGTCTGAATGTCCTCAATCAATCAAAACTTGTGTTACTCTTTTGTACTTGTTGTGAACACTCCACATCATAGTGTTGAAAAATCTAACATTTCGAGACTACTGGGTTTCAAGTACAATGTACATACATTATTATATCTTAAATATATTGGGGGGAAATGTTATCAAATATCATCAAATGTTTATCATGGGTTGGGTATAACGCTTGTATAGTTTACTTGGTTAACTGCATGTTAGTGTTAACCATTTGGAAAATACATGTATAGTATGACCAGAAATTATTGAGAATTTTAGGAAAGTATGTTTAATTGGATTTCTAGTATAATCAACCTTGACCAGCTATCAAGTGCTTGGTTTCATTCAAGAGAGACAACTCCGTTAATCCTTTTTCATCAGTTTGTGAAGAGTTATGCCCCTTTGTTTACTTGCTAGCAGACGACATTTTCAGTGATCCTCAGTATGGATGAATTAGAGAAGAGGAAGTTGATTTTAGAGTATTATAACAAGGACATCAGATCAGCTAAAGTGGTTTCAAGTAGAACAGGAATCCCTTTGTCCACTGTTTATCGTGTTTTTAAAAATATTGCAAATGGATATGGCATTGAGCACCAGGGAGGCGCAGGTAGGCCCAGAAAATTGACTGTCGGTGACAGGAGGCGGCTTGGTATTCTTGTTTCTAAAAACAAACGAAGGAGTTTAGAAAACTTAAGGCTGGATATGATTGATAGGGGAACTGTGGCTGTCTGTAAGGAGACACTTAGGAATTCCATCACCGATCATGAAACCTGAACAAAAGGAGCGAAGGTTGAACTGGTGCTTACAGCATAGAAATTTTAACTGGGACAATGTGATTTTCTCAGATAAAAAAGTTCTGTGTGGCTGTTTCCTAACACACTGAAATTCTGGACCAAACAAACTGAAAAACCTTTGTATCAGCGCCCAGAGTATAGTCCGAAATTTAACGTGTGGGGTGGCATATGTGTTAGGGGCAACGCCCCTCTGTGTATTCGAAGGGAATATGAACAGTGAGCGGTACACAGATATTCTCGAGGGACATTTACTTCCATCTGCTCACGTGTTCTATGGACATTTTTGGATTTTCCAGCAGGACAACGACCCATAACATCGTTCAAAGCATTCACAGGCCTGGTTTCGGACCCAGAATATGACATTATTAGATTGGCCATGCTATAGCCCTGACCTAAATCCAATAGAAAATGTTTGGGGACTTATGAAGGAAAGTGTCAATAAGAAAAATCTGACAAATATTGCTGAAATGAAAGAAGAGGTGGTCCGATATTGGGACAGCATGGACCACGACTTTCTAACTTCTTTGATCAGTAGTATGCCCCGCCGCATTGAAGCCTGCATTGCTGCCCATGGTGACTTGACAAAATACTAACTGTTCACCTGTCTTTGAATCTTGAGTTATGTTCTGCTAATATTCACATTTAATACGTGAGTAATGAGTGAACAAAATATAAAAATTTAAAATCTTAAATTCTCAATAATTTCTGGTTGTACTGTAAGTGCACACGAACTCATACACAGACGAGCGCGAACACAGACTTTCCACAGCTTCCAGGAGCACGGGTAACTCTCGTAGAGACAAGGAGGAACCTCGGATTCTAAAAAGCGAAAACCTGTTTCTGGTACACCTAAGGGAAGCAACTCTATACAACGTTGGGTTGGTTTGCTGTTTAACGCCGCACTCAGCAATATTCCAGCTATATGGCGGCGGTCTGCAAATAATCGAGTCTGGACCAGACAACCCAGTGTTCAACAGCATATGCATCGATCTACGCAACTGGGATACAATGACATGTGCCAACCAAGTGAGCGAGCCTGACCACCCGATCCCGTTAGTCGCCTCACACGACAAGCATGGGTTACTGAAGACCACCTGGGGCTCCTTTCACGAAGCAACCTTTACTAAGGTTAATCTTAACTCCCATTCTTGAAACATTGCACTAAGATTACCTTAGTGCTTCGTGCAAGGACCCCCAGATCTTCACGAGTCCAGAATTGCGCTGCAGCTGACTATGAAACAGTTATAAGCCTCAGATATTCATTTGACATTCAGCGAAACGTATTTAGGAGTTCATAATGCCCGGAAAAACAATTTATGGATCGTTTAAAGAAGCGAGCACGAAGACTCCATTGTAATGAGCTTACGTTAGCTGTCACATCAAGATTTCTTAACAACTCCCAGGAACACCTCGTATTACAGCTAAACAGATTTTTTATTAGATGCAAGTTTCACCATAATCTAAAAACACGTTTTCATATAACATGATCTATGATCTTCAACCTGCCATTTCCACTTGATGTCGGAGAAACTCGTCTGAGAGAGATCGGGAAATGGAACATCATTCCAAATAGGGGTAGCCTAGTGGTTAAAGTGTTCGCTCGTCACGCTGAATAGCTGGGTTCGATTCCTCACATGGGTACAATACCCACGTGGATACCATCAGTGTATGAAATAAGCCAAAACTCCAGCCAGACATCAGGGCTGGTAACTTCAAAATGTTACCAGCCCAAAATGGATTTAATCAGACCAAATATGGTGAATTTATTCAGATGTATGGAACATCTAAATTTTTTACCAGACCATCGGGCTGGCTAGCTGTAAATTTAGACCGTCCGTTAGAAAACTAGACCGTCTCGGGCGGTCGGACGGGCTTATTTCATACACTGACACAATGTGTGAAGCCCAGTTCCGGTGAACCACGAAGCGGGGTTGCTCAACTCGGCGTAAAACCATACTCACTCATCCCCAGCACGACGTGATCATCTCCACCCTCCCGAACAGAGGTGATCTACCTGAATTCCTGCTGCACGTGCAGATACAATTCCATGCGTGGTTGCAATAGGCTTCGCGTTGTTCATGTTTTCCATGGTCAATGTACAACTGTGCAACAGACATCAATAATCATTCATCTCTGAATTAAAGCTTATAATTGTTGAAATTGCTCACGTCCGGTCTTGGGGATTGCCGTTAGTCCAGTAGGAAGGAGGTTCGCCTACAGCACGCCAATACGCCCTGGATGTCCACCCATCACCCCTCCTTTCTTCTCGCATGTGAACCCAACTTGGCGCCTTCAGGGCGACGTCCCGCACAGGGGCCTCAATGTGCGGTCTTGCATCAAACTGTGTGTTGGTCATACTTGTCGTAGCAGGTATTATAGAGCCAAGCTGCAATATACCGTGCAAAGTTAAAGAGGTCGGTGTGTTTTACAGCAACGTATGTTATATTGGGGATTACACTTTCTTAGTAAAGTACACATTCTAGTACTTTTTGGGGCTGAGTCCGCAGTCCAGACTACCAGTTGTCCGACTTCCATTTTTTGGAAGTCGCGGTGGCTGAGCGGGTTAGGCGGCTGACTTTGTGTGCTGGCGATTTGGTGCCCGACTCTGAGGGTGTGGGTTCTAATCCCGGATTGGACTCAACCCCCAAAAGTACTAGAATGTATACTTTACTAAGAAAGTGTAATTCCAAATACAGTATAACAAATGTTGCATTTAACCACTTTCTAAATGGCATTGTGTAATCATGTTTTACAGCAGCTTTAACTTATAAAGCTCCCAAATCACCATTAGTACCCGGCGTTCAACTTTAAGGGCATGCGGAACTCAGCAGTGCGCTACATGGGACGACAATATCGGAAAAATGGGGTGCGTAAAAATAGCCTCAGTGTGTCTGATGTTTTGATACTTTCCCAGTAATTTAAGGTAATCTAAATGCATTTGAGATTTGGGTTATGAAGAATTCAGAATGCATTTGTGAGCAAGGGCATGAGTACAACATTAAAGGTAGTTTAAAAGGGTTAGTGTGTTGTTAGTATTACAGAATGGGTACAGCCAGGATACTGTCGGAAGTAGAAAACAAACTATTTCAGGAGTTAAACAGTTCCAACAGGCAGCAATTTTATGTCCCTTATAGAATATTAGTGATTGCAGATAAGCGTTTACTGACTAAACTGTAACTAATCAGATGATATTCAATATTTTACTTACAATGAAGGGATGCATTTATGTATGCGATTGTTCTCGTAACTTTGAACAAATAATTCTTGTTTCAGCAGAAGAAATCCTGCCAGCAAGACACAATTTTCAGATGGCCCATTTGTTGTGCAGAGTTGCGTCCCTTGGGAAAGTTTCAATCAGGGTTTGCCCAATCAGGCTTCTATATAGCAGGGGCGGATACAGCTTTTTGAGAAAGGGGGTGTGCACACTATTGAGAAAAGGAGGGGTGCACACTTTATTTCACCCAAATTTCAATGGTCATTTAACAAACTTTCAGCACAAAAGGGGGTGGGGGGTGGGCGCACACACCCCCTCTGGATCCTCCTATGTATAGTATTCCCAGCACCATGCCCATGCACCAAGTTTCATGAAGGTGAAACCACTTCAGGCTTTACTCCCACACGAAGTAGTCATGCTGTGGTATGACTGGAATCCTGTTTAAAGTGACATTAAGCCAAACTCACTCAGTCAACTGCTTGGCAAGCCCCTCATGTCTCCTGTCCTATAAAGATGACTTACGTATAGGTTCAGAAACACATTACTTTCAAAACCTCACGTAACTAGCAATGCTAATCCGTTATCTGTTGTTATAATAAGTACCGATATATGGCATGTACGAATAACTATAAACACATGACACTTCTTCAACACATTTATTTACAGATCTGGACGGAATGTGGATGATACATAAAACATGATACAAATAAAGACAATATTGGGTCTCAGTAACTATCAGTGTAACTCTTATCTTTACAGATTTTAATTCATATGAGTTTGGCAAAACTTCTCAGGACCTTTTTATCAAAATACCTGCACTGATATTAATCCAAAATTTCAAAACCTTGAGATAATCAAAATCTAAAAGATCGTATTGTTTTCATTATGACAAAAAAATTAGATGACTTTGTGTCTTCTGGGCATGTCTAAACACATCTATGGGCTGAAGTTTTGCCTTTGTTAAGTTCATATTTCAACAGCTGTGTTAAGATGAATATCACAGCCCTTTAAAGTCATTAAATGAATCCTGTCCTCCTGCCCCGACCCCTCCACCGTGGGCCTGCTTGTTCTGTGACGTCTTGTCCTTCAGCTTGGCCTGCAGCAGCACATGCTCCACCACACCTGTGCGAATGTCCATCTGTGTGTTCTCCTTCTTCAACTGCTGGATGGCCTGCTTGATCTTCACCAGTGGAGCTGAAACACCACACAACAGTCAGTAAATAATGTGTGTGCGTGTGTGTGTCTATGTGTGTCTGTCTCTGTCTGTGTCTGTGTGTGTGTGTAAATATGTCACACACACAAGCAGCCTGTAAATAATGCAACCTGGACCAGACAATCCAGTGACTGATTCACGTTGTGGTATGTTGTGAAATGCCATCAAAATGAAATGGATACTGTTGTGTCATGCTGCTGTAACGTTAAAGTTTTGTTATCCTGACATTCCTTAATAATGTGCCATCAATTCAATGACTGGAAAATTGCATCAATACCATGCACTAAATAGATCTGGTAAAATGTCTTAAAATCATTAACAATTCCAAGCCATCTAGAAATGCTCCGTGGGGATGTTCCCCCAGGGTACATTTGCTGTTTCATATAGAAGCTTTTCATAGCAGATACTGAGACTTCGACAAGATGACTCACCTCCATCTGTCATGCTGTTTCCTCTTTCATCCATCTCCTGCTTCACCTTCTCCAGCTCCTCCGTTACCTGGCAACACAAGCATTGTATGAATCAGTCATTCCCAGTAATCTATATCAATAAAATCTTGCACTATATCATTTGTTTTGTGATTTGAATGATCATTTCATTTACCCATTAACATTACATAGGTAAATATTTCAACATTTCATTTACATGACACTTAAAACATATTCCAAAATTGATCATCTTTTCGAATGCATCATAATTTCAAATTCATTACATTTATTGGCTGTTGTAATCATATTCTTCCATTTCACTAACCTCTGCAAGTGACCGTGACCTTTCTGTGACTCCACCACTGGCTTGTTTGTATCGCTCCTTTGTTTCTGCGAGCTGGTCCTGGGCAGAGCGGAAGTCATGCAGGGGCTGTTCCAACTGGTTGTTGATGTACTTCTCACGGCTGGAGATCTTCTCCAGGGTACGGCTGATCTCGTCATGTAACTTGTCCAGGTATGTCTTGGTCTCTGTCAGTGAGCTCTGGATGCCATCCCGATGTTGGTGCATCTGTTCAAGATGGATTCGCCAGTCCTGGAATAAAGATCATAAATTGTGTGTCTAGATGGCCACTGATGTGTCTAATTACTGTCGGTCTTGTCTCATCTGATGGTGACTGTCTGTCTGATTTTTCACCTTATTCTCCCCTGACAGTAAATGATGCCTGTTCCGATGGTGAACGACGTCTCACCTTGTTGTCTGTCCTGATTGTGACCTTCAGCTGTGGCAGTACTCTCTCCACCTCCAGCTTCCAGTCGGCGGCATCGGTTGTTGAATCAAGGATTGCCTCAGGTTTAGAGCCCTCCTGCATCTAAGAGGGAAAACATTCAAGTTAGCAAAAAAAACTGATACCTGACTGAGGACCAGGATAAAATCTTCATGAACCAAGATGAACTATGTTTACACCATGTTTTGATTATATCCAGGCAGTGTGGGCGTTAGAGGTGACAGCAGTATGGCCTTATTAAACACAGCCTGTCCTACCTACCCTATTCTGGTTGAGATTCTTCAGTCCCTCCAGATCCATCATCGGCTCATCATCCTCAAAGTCATCATCATCACCACCCTGTAACATCAACACATCAAAATGTAAGACAGTCCAACATTACAATGTATATAGTTCAAAAGCGTATTTCTGGTGTCCCCTGCTGTGACATTGCTGGAATATTGCTAAAAGCAGCGTAAAACAATACTCATTCTCACTGTAATATCTACCCTACCCCAAAGATAGGATCCTCCACTTTGTTAAGAGTCAACTCTGCATCTTCATCCTCGATCACATTCTCCTCTTCCATCTCCTCTTCTGGATAGGATGGCCTGTAAACATCAGGGCAACACACATGTAGCAGACAAGTTGAATTATCTCCAGCTAACGTGTGATCCAGTCAAACATAGCTATCTGTCAGGGGAGATAACTGCATTCAGAAGAGAAACACTCATCTGTAAATACCTCAAACACCTTAAAGCTTATTACATGATACCTAACAGCATGTGAAACATTACCTGTTCCACTTAAAGTGGCTGTTCTTGAGTGCCTCATCTGCCAGTCTGTCCAGAACAAAGATGCAGTGTTCTCCACTTCCCTGTTTCAGCTTGGATGGTGGGAAGTCGATTGTGTGACCCTAAAGAACAAAAATCACATTGCATCATTTATTCATTCTATGATTGAGGTTCCACTCTGATGAGGTTATCAAACCAGGCATTTCAAACAGAAATGGTTATTTTGATTTGAAACCTAGCGCCAGGCAGAATAGAGTGATTTCTGAATTCATGATAGTACATGTATACCGGTAATCATTATTCAGATAATACTTATCCATCATATGCCTCCATTCGCTACAACTTAGTACAAGTCAGTTTATTACACGGCTTCTAACAATCAACTTATTCCCTTTGTGTAGGTTCCCCGAACTCACAAATCTCCGCACTTCCTCCAGGATACTTGATATGGTGGAGTTGGGGTCATCATACTGAAAAGGAAAAAATTGTGTCACGAAAATCTTATAAGGGAAGGGCAAACATTTCCAACCAAAATACCTATTGCAAAAATTACTTTGATATAATTCAGACAGTCCACTGAGTCACAAATATTTCAAACTTTTACTGAAGACGAACTGCATTAGAACTTATTTGTGATTTTATCAATTTATTTATGTGACAGGGTTATTTCACCATATCCACAAAATCAATGTTCTGGAATGTGAACTGATCTAAAATCCTGTAAGAAACAACTCAGTACACATGGACCATCAGAGACTGACATACCTCCTGCGGCTGTTCGGAGTTACGCCCTGCAACACGCAACATCCAGGCTGCCAGTGATGTAAACATGAAGAACTGCTCTCCTGAGTTGGTGGGGATGGCAAAATAATGTCTGCAGCAGGAACCAGTGTCACATCAATACTCCAGGATTTAAAGAAAACAAACACACTTATCTATCACATGACAAATAACTACTAAAATGTCATGATTGTGTATATGAAGGAAAACGAATGTATACTTAATATTTACCTGTCATATATATACTTTAGCTGAAAAATGTCAGATTTATTAAATGATTGGGCTAGATTAGTATAAGATGAAAAATACTCAATTGCACGTATTGGTAACTAAATTAGTTGCCACCTGTCAAGTCAGGTTATTAAAGATGACTTACAAGGCAAATATAGACACCTAAAGCCCAGTAATAGTAACATATACTGAGATACTCACCTAGAAATAGGTTTGAGGTTTAACTTTCTGGAAAATTCTTTCTCATAGTTAAGAAGTCGTAATTTGTCAAGTAGCTCTTCCATGATGACAAAGGGCATGTACATGAGACCGGGGCCGCCATCCTCGATGTCGTCACCACGACGCTTGTCTTCACTCATCCTCCTGGAGTATACAAGAATACAACTTGACAAAGCAACATTAAATTACTTAAGTATTTTCAAAGTTAATGGAAATTATTTACTTGCCTTGCTATTTAATGCCACACAAAGATTTTCCAGCTATATGATGGCAGTCTGTAAACAATTGAGTATGGATCAGACAATCCAGTGACTGACATCATGAGTATCGATCTACGCAATTGAGATGACAAGCAGCAACCAAGTCAGTAAGCCTGACCACCTGATCCTGTTAGTCACCTCTCACATCAAGCATGAGTTTCTGATGACCAGTTCTTACCCAGATTTTCAAGAGTGAAACAGGGAAGTATAAAAGTGAATAGTTTAACAAATGTTTAAAACATGTTATAATATTATCAAATATCACAAAACCACTGACCTTTAGGTGTATAGCACTCCATCACTTATGCTATTTCACTATTAAGTCATATTTGCCAATCTTACAATGATCAAATCTCATATTTAATATGTTAAACGGTTGCAGTCACTGTCTACATGATAATGACCATGATGACAGTATGACTCATGAGCACATATGTCAACATTAATGATGCCTTTTCCTCGAAATATAAACAAGATTAACAATTCATGCCTTATGTTGTTTGAAAGACGGATTCAACACCTCATCAGTCACAACACTTTTTTGTGAACAGACCAGGCAAATATAAGAATATACATGTAAGAAGTTATGGATAATGGCATGGCTTCACCACTTTGATTTCTTCATGTTTTTTTAAAATCTTTGATGTCAATTAGAGTTGTGATGATATATCGTAGTATCGATAATCGTGATACCTTACCTGACAATAAATATATCGATACTTTTTTCCGTATCGTGATATGTATCAATGACCTTAAAATTGTGACTTTTCACCAGAAATTGAGGGTTATGTCAAACTTTACACTGTTTCTTGTTATCAAAATACACTTTTTTAAAGAAAATAACTAAAGATAGCATATCGTGATATGCATCGTATCATTCCATGATATCGCGATACGTATAGTATCGTGAAATATCTGCATCGGCACACCTCTAATGTCAATCTTGTCAAATAAATAACTAACTCAGTTTACCAAAGGAATTTTTTTCCGGAACTTTTTTTCCTATAACCGATGTAACCGCCAAATGTAGAATATTTATGGTCTGCTTTTTTTCTATTTATTAATATGTCATAAGGACATTATTCAGCTAACAGATCGTGGGTTCCAAAATGGTGCTTCATTTGCACAACAAAATATAGCTTCCATGCTGCTTGCAACATACGTGTCACTTTGAGAAAAATTTCACTATGATTTCCATGGTTACACCAGAGTATGGTCTCTGGTTACACTTTGGATCCTCCACTATTAGCAAAAAATAATGAAAATCATCATCAAAGACACCATCACTATTAGGTTCAGTATATAAACATGGGAGAACACTTGGCAATGGAAATTACATGATGTAAATGCATGCAAGCTTTGGTGACTAATTGAACTGGGGCTTTGCATCATATGATATTAATGAAATTATTGCAGATTTTGATAATCGTGTGGGATTACCAGATCCAACCTTTGTTTGATTACTAAATATCCCCACCATTGTGATGTTATTTCAATCTATTTATTTGTACATTTCCTCATCCAGAAAATTGTATTACTTAATAGCTTGATGTGTAGTGAAGGTGTCCTGGATATGACACTGACAGACAGAAGCAAAACAAACCAAAACAACATGAAATCTATGAATCAAACCTTACTGGGTCAGCGTCATATATGGGATACATAAGACGAATGTGCGACCAAATATATTTTGGGGCTAAAGTTAAATGCTGACAAGACATACATGCTTAGGCACAATTCACGACATAAAGTTTCTACCTGTATTCTGTGTTCCGTACCTGTAATTCTGTGTTAACTAAAGGAATTTGTTTCTGCGCACATTTGAGCCAACTTCCGTTTCAAGGGATACCTACTTTTTTCATTAAGATAAGAATAGTGTTTTGCCTTCATTTGAAGAATATATAAATCCGATTACCAATGTAGTATCTTAATTCAATTCTCATCTGAGCTTGTGCAATATTACATTTTCTTTATATATGTTACCATTTATTCTTCTATGTTGGAATACCAAAATTACCGGTCCCTCGTGCAGAGAGCTCCAAGAACGGTCTCTCACTGTGAGGAGTTTGGGTTACTATCAACAAACAAGATGGCGAACGACAAGGAACGTCTCGATGATTTCCTCAGCAAAGTGGATGAAATAGGTAATTATGCTCCATAATGGAACGATATGTCGTGGTAAATAAAACATGCGGCCAAACATGCTTCTTACAATCTTGCCGTTCCTACTACATGTGTGCTTCAGGATTGCCTATGAATTGTTAAAACTACAGAAGAAACGTCGACTTGATGTATCGATGCTCGATTCGCACTGGTTTGGTGAATACTGTCCAGGGTTGGCAACAATGCAGTTGACAGAGTGCATCACACATATAGCTTGTTGACATAAGCTGTGCTTTTGCTTCACAGCCACAGGTCTGGCATGTCTTTTTGTAGGACGCTTTTGTTGACATGGTTGAGAGTTGATGTGGACGAATTCGTAACCATCTAGAATATTAAAGTGAAGCAGCCTGCTTACACCTATAGAACAACCTATATAGGTCCTAATACTAAGTAAACTATTCTCCGCGTGTTCTTAACTTTCATGTCTTATCTACTTCCGGGTACTACAAAAAGTCCTAATTATGCATAATGCGGAACACACCCGCACAACACTCCTCCCCGTTCCGAAATTGAAGGGGGCACTCAAACCTAAACATATATAAACCAAAAACATTTGACAACTGAAACCTGCTGACCTATCTGAACTCAAAAAGAAATATTAAACGTCAGTCTCTCCTCCCCTCCCTGCTGCTGGTGAGAAAGGAGAAAAGGAAGAATGGGGACACCCTCTGAATCCATGTTCCATTCCATACCCATATTCAAATCAGCGACATCTCCTGGATGAGCCATACTGTGCAGAAAGCACAATTTTAAATTTTGTATATACATACAAAATTGAAACAGACAATTCTCAAATCAAGATATTTCAACTCAACATTTCCTGTTCAAAGAAAATCCTAAACTTACAGGGCATAAAAAAAAAACAAAAAACAAAGCCTGGAAGTACAGTTATTGTAGGGACGAGGGACATGGAAAGCGAAGCCATGAGGTCTTGGCTTCACACCCTCTGCACATGTACTGGTCTATAGCTTCAGCTGCTGGCGGTGTAATATCGACACAATCTCCATGAAACCACACGAAACAGGTTTCACACTGAATCATCAACTTCCCATCATCAGGTTTCCGGCACCAACAATGCAACTCCTCACATGATAGCCCTTCCGTGAGGCTTAGACAGACCCTGTCGGTCAGGAGTGGCATCTCCAGTGGAAATACATAAACCTCCAGCGGAGGTTTCTTTGCTGGGGAGAAGGGATTCCTAAAACTGAGAGCCCATGTCGGAACATCAATGCCCGAATCACGGCTTCAGGCGATCATGATTCATGATGGTGATGGTATTTCGGTTTTGGCCAGCGGTATAGCAGTGATGAAATACGCTCTGCTATAACACAGGGACCCTTCAAGGAGAGGTCAACTTTTGCATTTTCCTTTTATGGTGGCTGTGTCCATCACCAAAACAAGATCACCGACATTGTACTGGTTCAACAAAATATTGACATCATAATCCCTTTTGAGGTTTCCTGTGTGGTCTGGAGCATTTTACTGAGCTGTCTCGTGTGCTGCACGCATTCTGTCAGTCATAGTCTTGACATAGCTATCTGCATCCAAATGACTTTCTTGTGGCAACACTGAAAACATTAGGTCTGCTGGTGTAGTGACCTCACGGCCAAGCATCAGCTTATTGGCTGTGTACCCTGTACTCGGTTGACGCACTTTCGTAAGGCAAAAGCAATTAGTGGCAGGTGAACATCCCATTCTTCCTGATCCTTGATGAAGCAGCGGACAGCATCCATGAGTGTCGCGATTGAAGCGTTCTACCTGGCCGTTTGATGATGGGCGATAAGGAGTGGTCCTGGTTTTGTGAATTTGGAGTGTGTCACACATGGCCTTGAACAACCTACTTTCAAAATTCCTACCTTGATCAGTGTGGATAGCAAGCGGGAAGCCAAAGCGGGGAAAAGAATTCATTGACTGCACAGCGGGCAGTTTCCTCAGCCCCTTGTGAAGGCAAGGGTATACATTCGACCCATTTGGAAAACTGGTCTACGATCATCAGAATGTGTTCATTGCCACGGCGTTCTTGGCAATGGGCCCAAAAATCTAAATGAACCCTTTCCATAGGAGCTCCTGCATGGAAATTGGTCATGGAGTGTTTTGCCTTCCTATTGCCCTTCTTTTATGAGTTACACTCAGAGCAAGTGGATACATGAAGTTGAATGTCCTGCGCGACATACCATACCAGTGATAATTGGGTTTGATCCTAGCCTTGGTTAGCTTCTGCCCTTGGTGACCTGCTGAGGGAATATTGTGATGCAAATAGAGGACATCATGGTGAAGATCGCCGGGACGACCAATTGGCGTTTGGAGTCCAGGGTCATATACAGAATGCCGTCAGAAATGTGGTACAACTCCTTGTTCAGGTAATAGAATTTGCTTGCTGGACTGGATAGATTCAAATGACTCTGTGTAGGTTCTACACCATTTAACAAGAACTCTAGAATGATATCCAGATCTGTGTCATTCCTCTGAGCATTGAGAATGTTATCTCTAATGTGGGTGCGAATCTCATCCTCAGAGAGTATCAGATCCCCTTGAGAGCTTGCCTGACCCTGAAATCTGAGTCTGTTCTAGCAGAATCAATGGGTAACCCTCATCGATGGGCGCACAACCTCCAGTGGAGGGTAATGCTCCTTCAAACACCTGGTTTTTGGCCAATCTGTCGAAGGATATATCCAAGGCACCATCAGGGGTTACAAGAATGTTTACATCTGGAGATGCTGACATGAAATTCGGAGACTCATTCACGTTCCTCACTGATTGGGTGTCTGTCGGGTTGGCACCTGGAACTTGATTGGTCTAGGCACAGAGGCTTGTCATTCCCAGCTGGAGATGGCGATTCTCTTGTGGATTGAGTTTCACCTCCATTGGAGGGTGAGTGAGTGGTCAAAAGAGTGCTTGATGAGTGGGATCTACAGGGGACTTGGGACCCTTGGACAGTGGCAGCACATCGTCAACAGACTGGCGAAATTCATACCAGTTCTGGTGAGCCTTCATACAGTACTTGCAGCCATGGCAAAGGAGCTGAGATGGAAGGACATCAGTGTCTACATTTGGGCAGGCTGTCAGAGGTGGGCCGCCGGGATAGGGAGTCAGCATTACAGTGCTTAGAGCCTGGCCGATGAACTACTTTCATAGAATACTGGCTCAATTCCTCAAGCCATCTTGCAAGCTGGCCGTTAGGTGGTTTAAAATTCATGAGCCACTGCAAACTGCTGTGGTCCGTTCTGAGCATAAGCGGTCGGCCAATTAGGTAATGCCGATAGGCCCTGGTGAACTTCACAACAGCTAGCAGCTCCTTTCTCGTGAGTACAGTACTTGAGTTGTTCTTTTGACAGAGACAGGCTTCCATAGCGATGACCTTTTCAACACCATTCTGGACTTGAGTCAGTTCTGCACCAAGAGCATAGTCAGATGCATCAGTGTCTAAAATGAACGGATCATCCATGTTGGCAATTCCCAAAACTGGAGTGGACAGCAGGGCATCCTTTATCGCTTGGAATGCCTGTTCACGTTCATCAGTCCAGAGGAAAGTTTTTCTACCGTCACCTGGTACAATGGCAGAGCCAAATCAGCATACTTTGGTATAAACTGGCGATGATAGTTTGCTAGTCCTAGGAAGCGTTCCAACGTCCTTGCAAGAGTTTGGGGTTGGCCACTGCTCCACTGCGCTGACATCAACTCCTGCTTCAAGGCCATCTGGACCAATTTTTTCGTCCCAGGAACTTCGACACTCACTTGAAAGAGTTCACACTTCGCCCGGCTTCAACTTGAGTTGATACTTCCTGAACCTCAAAAACTTCTGAGGTTGTCAAAGTGGCAGTCAATTGTTTTCCCCAGAACCAGTGTGTCATCCAGGAAAGCCAAGACAATTTTCCAATTCAGCCCAGCTAGAACTAAATTGATGACCACGATCAAAGGTGGCTGGGGCATTACACAGACCAAAGCCCATCCTGGTGAACTCGAACAAGCCATATTTAGTGATAAGCGCAGTCTTGTGTCGGTCCTCTGCTTTGATAGGAATCTGCCAGTATGCATTATTGGCATCAAGCTTTGAGTACCACATTGCGGACAGTGATTCCAGACATTCTTCTATGAGTGGCAGAGCAAATACTGTCTTACGGCATTGTAGATTGAGCTTTACGGTAATCCAAGCACCATCTTACTCCACCACATCTTTCCTCACTAGTACAGGTGCTGCTGCCCATTCTGAAGTGGAGGTTGGATAACCTGAAAATCAAGCATCTTCTGTAAATGACTTTCCTCCTCGTGTGTGCAAAGCTTGGCGGAGTTCGTCTCATCCGTTGCTTCACAGGTGCGGAATCACCTGTGTCAATAGTGTGCTCTATGGCTGTGAAGTTGCCTAGATCCATGTCATGGCAGCTTAACACATCCTGGAATTCAATGAGCAGCCTCTCAAGCTTTTCACATCGTCTTCTGTTAGCTGCCAGCTGAAGATTGATTGAAGAGGTCTCGAAGGTGCTCTGGTACTGAAGTAGCTTCAGCTGACTGTGAACACAGAACAAGTTGTCTTGATTGTGGTGAAATTCGGGCAAATCCCTCTTCAAAGTTGGTACCTCCTGTGGTGGATCAACCTTGTCAGTCTTGTCATCACCTCCATAGTCAGCTACAAGATCAGCTTCAGAAACTCTAAGCCAACAGCTGACCATGTGAGAG